TATTAAGTATTCAAGACCAGCCTTATTTGTTTTGCCGTAAAAGTCCCGCATACATGCAACATCAAATAAAAACCAAGTCATCTGTTTGCCCGATTGTCTTGAAGAGTGAGCTTTCAAAGCGAAAGCTGTTAGAGCCGCCTCTCTTATAATCTTGAATAATTCATGAATTCAACCGTCGTTAGAGTAAGAGATGGGGACCCTCACTGAATTGCAAATGTCTTTTGGAATCGAAAGATGTGCGGTTTGTTGTGCTGCGATCAATTTTCAACTTTGGAAAACCTGGGACTATTGAGTTTTTCAGCAAAAAATGTGCTCCGTCCATCATGCCCTGGGAAACGTAACCAAATCTTGTGAGGACTTGAAAGGTATAATAGGAGATAACATAATAATCATGTTGCATGTCAGGTTGATATCGGAAACTACCTAAAAAGCATGTACTTTTCATACACAAGGGAGATATCCTGTAAGGTATATTTGAGTTGTTGTGTTGAAATATTCAGGATTTCCCTGGTATTTGCAATAAATGTTTCACAGCATATCAAGTGTTCAGCACATTCCAAAACAAACAGATTTCTTATACAGTAGGTAGAAACTGAACAAAAAGTCTGCAGTGGGGACAGTTTCTCCAACTGTCTTTTTGATGGCTGCATACTTGTGCATAATTAAGATGAACAATTGAAATAAATAATTTTACAGAAATTTCAAAATAGACTTGTAGATGATAACTGGATGCAAACCTGATGAAATAAAACAAACAATATTGATTTAATAGATATTGATTGTTTATTATTATACATTTATTTTGAGAGGAAAACAGAAAAGAAATATTTTGCAGCTAGAATATGGAAAATACAGTGTTTGGTTTCATCATCATCTATCCCTCCATGAACAGACACTATGGCTATGGAAGGGGTGAAGCAGATTTATGTTAAAGTGAATTCCCAAGGAAATGAAACTCAATCTCTCTCCTCTACAGCCATGTATCATATTCTACTTTTCACGCAGGATCAACAGCTCTTTGTGAAACAGAATATGAGCTGATGATGAACATAAATAGTCAGTCCATCTTCAGATTTAGGTCTCTAATGAAATTGCCACGAGCGCCATTTTTTCTTGAGGGAGGGGAGGGGGGAAGGAGATGGGAAATCAATCTAAAAATAGTTATCCGCTTGTGTTGTACATTCCCTCATGTGACAATTTGATGGAAATGTGGTCATTTTAATTTTAGTTTTTTGAGGGGCATAAATATGGGTGATGTTTCGTTCTTGTCACTGTTAAGGGAGAGGGATTGAACAAAGACTTGTATTTTCATAACATTGAACGGTGCAGAACAGCATCGTTTGGAGGGGAATTTTACATAATGTGCAAACGGTGCAATGTCCTTTTTATTCCATGTTTATATAAAGGCCTGTCTCATAATCTTCCCTTTTCTCAGGTAGGTGCATTAAACAAACTTGCAGGTGAACATGTATTGCTGGCAATGTGAAGAGATTTTTTCAATAAGTTGAATGACATTTATGAAGTGTAAATCACACACTAGAGATAGCAATGGGACAGATTCACTCTGCCTGCCAGTTCTATTAACCGTGAAATTAACCACAAAATTCTGCCTTTGCTTTCTGCTTTTTTCAGTCGGCCTGCCTTCTAATTTAAGAATTCATTCAAATCATTCAATAGTGAAAACCCACCTCGGGACCTGGGGTTTAAACGAATGAAGCGGGGGAGGTACGTCAGTACGTCGCATGTCTTGCTCGGTGAGGTATAAATGAGTATCGACTGTTCCTTACGAGTGCACTGAACTGCACCGGGTGCATCGGCAATCCCGGTGGCGGGGGCAAACTTGAAGATGTGTATATTTGGATAGCATGATTATGTTGATAAGGAACATGTATCAGTCCAATTGACTTTCATCTGTGTAGGGTACGCTGTCTCGTATTTATTTATTAACAAGGGGATGGATGGAGTCGGGGATGGGCCAGGTATTTGAAACGATCGGATAATCACTAGGATGTAGGAGAAGGGTCAGAGCCTTCTTGTTAAAGGTAATGATCAGGATTTAATTCAGAAGATTTGAAATGGAGAATGAATTGCTAAATCGCATCCAAGGGAAGGAATGAATGCAGCTCCTGATATAATCTGTTGTCTTCTTGTGCTGTATTAATTTTTTGTAGGGTTTTCAAAAGAGATACATGTATAAGAAGAAGGTAATCTAAAGTAAAGGTTGCTCTGTACATGTGTACATTATTTTGCCGGATGTCAATGACACACAAGTTGTGTGTCATTGTTGTTGTTTTTGCTTTGGGTCAAATGATTCCCCTTTTATTGACATGCAATGACCCTGGATGGTGGCAAACAACACAACAGAATTGTGTTGTATTGATTGAGGCGACCATATTAAGGACGGATATTGTATTACCGGTAACAAATAATGATACTAAAGGAAAAGAGGGTAACTCATTGCCGAAGAGTCCAAGATTCATGTGCATACATTGTTGAGCGCTATACACTCTCTACATTAAGGCTGCGACGGGTAGTCGAATGCTCGAGTACCCGCACGGTTGACAACTACTCGGGTACGATTTCTCGTACCCGAATATTCGGCCGCAAAAAAAAAAAAAAAAAAAAAAAAAAAAATGTCCAGGCCCACGCTTACCCGTGCCAGGGAGAGCGGCAGCCGCTGGCATGGTACCGTCGGTAAAAATGTTTCCCAACTCAAGCACTGTCAAACTCACCTTTCAGAAACTGGGACCAAATGTCCAGATTTCTGTTTGGACTTGGAGGAAAATGGATTATTCTGCCATCTTTGGTTTTTAAAACAGCATTGTTTACTGTTATTATTCTTATTAAATCGGCGCCTTCAACTGCAATTCAAAGTAAAATCGCATGCGTTTTGGGCGAGGGATCTGAGAAACTGCCGTGTGGTATGGTAGTGGCAAAAAAAGTCAAAAAAGAAAAAAAAAGTCAAAAAAGTCAAAAAATCAAAAAATTCAAAAAAAATCAAAAAAATTCAAAAAAATTATAAAAAAACATGGCGTCCGAATACTCGAGTATTCGCCTGTAAGCCTGGGAGTGTACTCGGGTACCTCATTACACTGTTGTGCACAGCCTTACTCTACATACAGTACACTGATTTACTTGTAATTATTATCATCGATATGTGAGCAACCTTTAATCGCCATCATGCTTCGTACGTTTGTAACTTTTTCCCAGTAATGGTTCATGCTTGTAAACTTTGACTGCAGTGACATAATTGAACTAATGATGTATATTGCATAATCAAGGATGGCATGGTGCAGCTGATAACCTGCTGCTTGTAGATTACACTGCAGGTGCGCATTCCATTCATGTTACCTCTCAGCAGGTGTTCTAGACATGTATAACATTTAGGACCTACTGCATGGACCAGTAGTACTTGTAGATACTACAATGTACATGTACATAAGTTGCCTATACTCAGGAGTGCATGGGTCCATGCCACTTATGTATTTTCCAGATTTGATTAAGAACCAGTCCCCTGTTCAAATATCTTTTCAAATATATCTATTCAACATATGTACATGTTGCTTAGTACATGTAGTGTATTTAATGAACTTTATTAATTAATAATCACCAAAAAAAATTGATGAAAAAACTCTCATAACACAATGGTGCAATGGTATTTTCATGTACTGTACTTTGAGTATAAAAGGTATGCAATATTGTTTACCACTGATATCTTGTGTGAGACAATAATACTAGAATTATAATAGAATCTTTATCTCGAGGGTTTACAAAATATACCTTTCAGGAACAGGATTAAAATAAAAGTAGCCCTTTAGTTTATTATTTTGATGAGGCGGAGATGATTCAGCGTCATGCTAGGATATCATCATCATCTGGAAAGAGTTAGATTGAATTTCCTGAGGTGAAAGGAGCGTCTCGTCACTCTAGGCCTGTCTTCATCAGCTCGAGTTTGCCAAATAATTTTAACTATCCCGATTGCAAATTTGCCAGCTAATTTGTGTTTTCATAAGCCTGATAGTTGGTAAAGAAAATATCCTGAGAAATGTTGGTCTTGTTTTCAAAATGTCTTGTTATTTTGGAAATAATGGGCTAATTTGCACCTGTCCAAGCTAGTCTGTGATAAGCATATCAGTCTGGTGGAGACTAGGATGTAATTTTGAGCTTCGAGATAATATCCCAAGTCTGAAAATGGCGGGTTATTTGGCAAACTCGAGCTGATGGCAAACTCGAGCTGATGAGTACGGGCCTTCTCATGCAATCCCTTTCCGTTGAAAACATGGCCTGGATTCTCCCCCTAGGCCCAAGGCACCAAAAACAAATACCGCAGAAGGTGTATTGCCCAAACCCACCAATACAATAGTGAAGCCTGAAGAAAGGTTGAAGAAAAGTTGACTTTGCATTGGTTTATTTGTTTTTGCTTTCATACAAAATGACCTTACTAATTGTCCGAAGATATTTTGGGAAGAAATGTTTCACTTGCTGATTGTTTTTGATGGTCATCATCATGCCATCTATATTCATATAAACTGCGCACCATACAATAAATCTCCTCCCAATACCTTTAATGATGTTTTTTGACACATATTGAATACAACGAGTGTGGACATTGTACATACCGTCTCTGTTTTCACGAAGTGATGGTAGTGAGGAAAATCGTAACGCAAAGTGAATGCAATTTTTTTTTCACTACCGTCACTTCGTGAAACAGCGACGATACATGACTACACGTATTAAAATTATACCTGTATGGTAACCTTTGGAAATAGTTCTGTGTGCTGCTGCCCAGGTGTTGAAGGGAAATCCGGTATCATGAATGTGTAAACTTGATACATTTACATCCTATGAACAGTGATTTATTGATGAAAGGATGGTGTGTATCGATGCCTCAGCTTGCATTCACATATCACACGTTATATGCACGTTGAAGCTAAACTTTAGTTGATTTATTCATTGTAATGTAGACGCTTTATCACTAGAAAACAAAAATGAGAGTATCTTCTGTTTACGTTCATGTAGTATCACCTTCATAAGTCTTGTCCGATAAGGGAATTTTCATCAAGATCTTTTCAAATCTGTAAGACAAGGATATTGTGGTATGTATTTATAGGGGTTGGGAAACATTCTCTTATCTTTGGAAAATCATGAGGAAATACAAATGGGGATTTTATTAAATTTGATGAGAATGACAACTATATAAATTATATAGTTGTCATTTTCATTGACAGACCAGTCTCAAGTATTGTATGCTAAAGAACAAGAGGTCAGATTTAGCGAAATATGGGTAGGTGGAGGTATATCCTGATTCCTGAAACCCTAGTCATTTCTAAAATTTTTGAACAAAATAGCTCTAGAGATTTCTCTACATTTGCAGCTATTTGGTCATGAGTGTAGCCCACACAGATGATTCAACTATGATGAAAGGTTTATTTATTTTAAGATGAGGATATATGAATTCTTAAGTGGCCTTAACCTGGATGATGTACATGTACCTTAGGTAATAGCACACATCATATCCTAGTAGAGCTCCGGAGCTGGACTACCGTTACATGAAGATTATATCTACACTGAAGGTGTAATATCGATTCTCCGCCCGTCCCTCTGCTGTTGTAACTTGTAATGAAATAATTACTTCGAGGGCATCAGATCCTATTTCAGTCGGAGATGCAGAATTCCCAGGTTTTCATTTTTTCACTTATCGTATCTCTTCGCTATTGATAGAAATGGACAAGATAAGATTGTAGACAGAAATGCAGGGTATGAATTCAATGGCATTTCACTTCAGGCTTGAGGTTGGTTTCTATTCATTTTTTTGGAGGAGAAGACTGTAAAGTGTAGACACAAGGAAACCTTGTCTTTGAGCATGGACTGGTAAGGTGTCCATTGGAATGCTATCATTTGTCTTTTTATTGCAAGTAATAAGTAGTTGTAATAATGCGTTTGCTAGTTAATAATACCATTGCTTTTAAACGAAAAGAATCGTAGGAGTGAAGTCTGACTTGAGATCATGAAGTGGCTCTTGTTGATAAGCTTATCTGAGCCTCTGAGGCCTGAAGCGGACATTATCGTTTGGGCTTCCTGTATTTGCCTTTGTTTTTTAAGAGTAAGTGGCAGGAGATTAGGAAAGCATGGTATCAAAGAAAGACTGATTATCACCTTCACAGAGGTCAGGATGTTTGTTGTGACATTAGCTAGTCATTTAAGCCTAATGGTCATCCGAGTGTCTCTAATGGTCATCGGTGTGTCTATTGGTCACCTGAATAGGGCCAGTGGTAGATCCTAAATGCTGTAAAGCTTTGATCAGGCCAGGAAGACAACATCCTCAATGGATGAGGAAATATTTGATTAAGTCCATTTTCTTCTTAAACCTAATGGGAAGTAAACAGGTCAGCAAAGTGAAAGAAGCCATGGAATAGCATACATGTATCTCTTTAGATAAGAAGGTAATATATCAAAAGACTTTAGGAATATCAAAGTCACACTTTGACTATGAAAGCACCTTTTTATCGTTAGGAAAGACATTAGTAAGGCTGGTATAGTGCGTGAAACTTTGGAAAGATATTTGTTTTAAACAAACTCTGTATAGAAACGCATGTGGTGAGCCGTATATACCACAAACCAACCAGCTCATTATTTTATTTTTCTTGGATTTATTGACTTTTCTGCTTTTCCTCTCAGAAATGTAGCACAGGAAGCTGAAGTAGGCCTGTGTGTAATTTGTGCTATTGATGTTATGTACTTTTGAAACCCCTTGATTGGTTTCTTTAACATACTGTAGCTCATATTCATGGTTGATATTTTAGTAGCTTTCTGTGGTGAATGCTTTATTTCCTTCAGGAATCAAGATTTCACAACGTCAGACTGTGTAATTGTGGTTTTAGTAGCTTGAATACACATCAGGGATGTTGTCTTTCCTGGGTTGTCAATAGGGTGTTGAAGATCGTCTTTCCTTGTAATTCACTGTCCGTATTGTATTGATTAAACTTTCCAAGGAGTCTCGTTTGTTGGGGTGTCAGGCCTTTTTTGTTTGTTGAATTATTCATCAGATATCCTCAAGATGTCCTGAGATTTGCTTCAAATATTCTTGATATTTACATACGTTACTAAATTCTAATTAGGAAAAAAAAACATGATGTAATTTCTTAAAGTTGAGAGGATTTTGGAATAAAAGTCTGTCCAAATTAAAATAAGTAAAATTTGGCCTGTCATTGATATTCAAATAGCATCCCCTCCTACTTGTTCCCATCGTTTACAAAAATGGCACATACTTTTAGACATATTCTATAATTGTATTAATTTTTTACATACTGGTACTATGGAATGTATATCATACAGTTATGAGATAAAGGGAAGATTTTTATAGACTTACTGCGTGCTCTCAGTATGGCAATTGTTTAATATTTAATTTTGGAAAGGGTTTAGAACAGAGATGTCCATGTAAAATAGAATTAAGAGAACTATAAAAGAGAACTGTACCCCAACTTTAAATAAGAATAAAAGAAAGTCACTTACTACCTGTTGACCAAAGAGAGGGATAGGAATTATTGGATTTAGTCACATTCAAATCTTATTTCTTAAACTTGGTTTTCTCCTTCGTTATCACCAAAGGTACCCTTGATTCTTCACTACTTGCCCATCTTCCAGAGAACAGTATAAGGAATAAGAACACCCTGTGCAGAATATACACACTCTTATTCAAATGACATTTACTTTACACTCCTCCAACTGTGTCCGTGACTGTCTATTTCATTCAATTTGAGATAGGAGGAGAATAGCTCATTGCAGTTGAATGACTTAATCAAATCGATATCTGCAACAATAGTCGGGCCTTTTGAAGCCTGTCTGATATGGTATCAATTGAAGTGCATGGAATCGACATTCGCTGTTAGGAGGTGTTGGTGGAGAAAGATTTTGCGCGGCTGGAGCCTGGTGGATGGTGTAATTGGATGCAGGACGGCGTCAAAGAGAAGTTTCCGCCGCCCAATAGAAGCGTGTTGAGTGGCAGTGGTAGTGGTTCATGTGATTCCTAAGCTGTAGAGTGGATATCCTAGCCTTCCTGTATGATGGCATAAAGACTGGTGGCACCGGTGGGATACATAGACATAGATGCACAGACATTACCGTATCAGATTACATACTTCAAGATCCTTACACCTCACAAACACACTGGAATAGTAATAATGTCTGAGGTGAAGGAGTTCAATTGATGGGAATGAATCTTCATCATCTATAACTTCTCAACTCTGAATATTATTATTCAGTTGTGTATTGAGCCTCTTTAGGAAAGAGCAGAAATGTGACACTACTGTGAGAGTGGGTGTTGTTGCAGAACTGTGACAGTTCTGGAAGAATTTTTCCATCTTACTAAAAGACAGGGCTATAACTTGGATTCATAATTAATTAAGAGAAGTGTTGGCAAATTAACCATGGGGCAGTCGTCTTCAGCAAGTTCGACAGGGCCGGAGTCTCCTACTACTCCCATAGATACATGGATCACCCACAAGCCCAGTCCATGTGCGTTGATGGAACAAAATGGTGGACTAACCAACGGCCATACGCAATGTGCCGCGAGCATCAGCGGGAGCAGCACAAGAAGCAGCAATGGAAGCAGCAGCGGAAGCACGGGGACACAGCCCCGTACGCAGCCTCGTCTGGCTCACCGATCGTCAGTGCAATATAGGTCCTCCAAGGGCCGCAAGAACTCAGCCATTGAGAAGAGGGTGCACAGTGTGCACATCATTGAAAGCATTCCTAGTGAAATCTTTTTGAATCGCAGGAAGCAGATGGATACATGGCAGCAGTATCAGGTAAGCTTGCACCCAAGACCAGGGTAGTAGGGTCATGATTATGTAGATGATATTCCCCTTTGATTTCTTTGTCAGATGCTCCAGATCTAATAATGCTAATCTCTAATCTTCCATCAATCTTTTCATTCCTACAGATGCACTTTTGTCTCTACAATGCAGTACAATCTTCTTCCCTTCGATTGCTATACACTGGCACTTGGCATTCCCCCTTCGGCCTTCCCCCTTCGTCCCGACCAGGTCATGATAACAATATTGTGTACTCTTCCATTTGTTTGAATTATTAACTTACCTTAACCTGATTATAGCATTTTTTTTCTCTCTCTCTCTGTCCTGGATCTCCTGAATACTCTCAGTAATCCATCCTACAGACGGTCCACCTACATCACGGTATTATTCATCAAATTGTCGCCATGACGATGTCATTTTGATCCTTGTCTAGAGCCATCTTCAGCCAGGGTTCATCCTAATGACCAGTTATTACCTCCGCTCTCTCTCTCTCTCCTCTCTCTCTCTCTCCGCTCTCTCTCTCCTGCCTTCTCTCATTGTCTCTCTTTAATAATCAGCTCGGTTTCCCTTCCCTCAAACCTCACTTCCTTTTCATTTAAGCTTCATTCACAGATATGGCCGAAGCTGCCCTCATGATGAAACCTATCCACTCGTCCGCACGGTATCGACATCAGCTACTGCAGTGCCACCCAATTTAGTTTCATGGAAGAGAGTGCTTTGGTTCATTTTATCTCTCTACTAGATTTGAATGTTAATATTTGACAGTATGCAATCTGTATATTTTAGTTTTAGGACATCACTTTGTCGAGGCACCATTTTTAAACAACAACAAAAACAGTATACACTGTATGTACTTCAACAAATATTGATGTCTAGAGTCTTAAAAACCTATTTGTGCCCATATTTACTTTTTTGTTAAATGTATTTTTATTTCAAGATATTTATGTGTAGGTTTTAAATTCACTTTTACAAGCTGTCAAACTTTTAAGCTGTCATACTTTTCAGCTAAAGCCCATCTTAAAGCCCATGATTCTGAACGGTCCTGTCCTCGTAGGTTAAAAATACTACATGGTAAGGCCTATGCTAATCCGCTTGGATATCTCATCTTTTCGCACCAAATGCCATCCCCCTTTAATCCCAGCTTATTCCCCATCTTCATACTGTTAGTATGTATTAAGGTTGTCAAGCAAAGTCATGTAGGTTATACTTAATACTTTATGGTACTTGGTAGGGCTTATAATAAACTGCACGTATTACTCATTAGTTCCAGAAATAGATTTAGGGGAAATTATGATTTTCATTTTCAAAGCACCCAATATGACTTTTCTATGTAATAGCCTGCACCTGTGGAACATGGCAATGACTTCAAGTTCAATAGTTTGGCAGATCCTCATCATCATATGAAGGCTATTTCCTCTTAGAACACTCTCATATATATAATGATTATCATTGCTTGAACTTCCTGTGGTGGTTTATTCAGTTAGGTATGTTTACAATTAATTCAAGAGAATACATGTAGTTCTTTAAATGTTATTTATGAAACATTACGGCCTACACAGGAAAATGTATGTATACATACTGGTAGTAGGTCTACATGTATATCATGAAACCATTCTCTAAGCTGTTTGGCTATATTTATTTAGGGAAATAATCATTCAAAGGTCAAATAATCTTGAACTCAAGATGGATGCTCTCCCCTATTGGGCCTAATGTCCTTTCACGTCAAATCAAAAAGGATTTGATGACTTTATAGTGAAGTTTATCTTGTCATGGGCATTACGCCACGCTAATGATATCCAGATGCTCTGACAAAGTGGGAGAGCCCATTTAGCAAAGAAGTATCCCAGAATTCACAGCGTGTCGTCAACGACCTTTGACCCAGCTACCAGCATGGTACTGTATGTGGCCTGTCAGGAGGGTTGACAGCCTTTGTTCTTCTCAAGGCTGTGTGTATGTTTGTAGTTAACATGAAACATGAAACGGCTATGTGGTAATGCTGGAGAAATGCCCTTATATGGCTGTTCACAGATGCACTGAGCTCTGACAAGTAGGGGACATGATCATGAAAACCAGTTAAATAATGTCCCCCATCCCCCTCCCATTTCAAAACAATTGGTGATACAACATCTTATTGAGACAGTATTGAGACATTGCCTGAACATTGATGTCATGCCCACACATTTTTAAGTTCTAAAAACATGAAATCTTGAGTTTTCTTATCAGTTTGTTATCGCTCACTGACCTGTTTATAACATGTCAATCAGTGGCTTGAAGGACAAGTAATCTTCCTCATTTATTGGAATACAAAGCAAAATTATTGGATCAATCAAAGTTATTAATTTGTTATTGGTACAGTACATGCAGTCATGAGTCTTTATTTTTAATTATTTTCATTGTTACACACGATAAACACTTTCATGAGTTCATTAGGTATTTGATGTTTTATACCCAAAAGAAACGACTAAGTACCTATGTACAAATGTATCTGCTCTCTTTTATAGAAAATCATTGAAATATAAGCGTGATAGGAAAGAAAGCAACCATACATATTTTACATATTTGTTATCCTTGTGTTTTATGTTTCTGTGTTTGGCTTTCAATAAAAAACATAAATACAAAAGAATAAGAAAGAAAGCAACCATGCCTCAACTGAAGCTTGACATAAGTTGTTTAAAGATTGTACAAGCACAAGTGCATGGCCATCTTGTAAATCTAATGAACATTGAATGTTTAATGTGACAGTACAGATGTTGGGCTGACTTTCCTTTGTTCTGCGGAGAAGAAAAAAAGATTTACATGTATGTATACATGTTGGCCCACATTTTGTGAATAATGTGGCACTTTCCCAACCATGACCAAATAAGGCAAAAATCAAGTTCACGGATTTCCAAATTCTCTTATGAATAACTACCGTTTTGAGAATTATGACTTGTTTGAAGGGGTATGTTCATGTACATGTATTTGTTTACAATAAAAGAACAACTCGTTTTCCATACTGATGTAATATGACAATGATTCCACAGTGTTACCCTGTATAGAAAATAAATTTTAACAATATTTTTTTTTTTTTTTAGCAAGCTGTAGATTTATTATTTTAATTGTGACATGTTTAATAGTCATTACACAAATATTTGTATGTAGAATCTACATTGTCCTGTACAGTGTATCTGGTTTGTGTATTACCTCTATTATCCTATATCGAGTCATACTTGAAGGACTTTAATTCTATTTTAAACATCCTTGATTATCCCACAAACCACACTAATTTGTAAAACAGAGTATAAAGGTATTTTACTAGCTACACCGCAAATACGTTATACAAATTTTCCTTTTTTGCACACATACCAGTAGTAAGGTCAGTAGCCTAGTACTATAGTAGCCTACTCTACCCTTGTCTGTTTTAAAGGTAAAGACCAGTTATGGTCATGCGATTGCATTGTGAAAGAAACGTTGTGGAATCAATCAGAAAAGGTTGATCATCTAGCATCTAGCATCTGCAAGGTTCTGGAATCATCAAAATGATAAGAAATTTGGCCCTTTCTTTGTAAAGTTACAAGCACTATACACAGAAAGATGTATATGGGACTACCCTATATCTCTCACACGACCATGAGAGAAACAAATTTACCAAATATAGTAATTAGTAGGCAGTTTCCCAGCAAATTTTTTATCATCATGTATTAGTCAAAACAAATTCTTTCACATGATTGGTAATGAGAGCTTCCATTTCATTTTTTGAAATTGGGGCGTTTCCAATACTGGTCTTTCCCTTTAAGGATGTGTATATTTGGTAATCACTATTTGTCCTTATTCTAAGGGCAGGCATTTCTAGGTTTTGTTTTTCCAGTATCTCTACACCTCAATAGTATTGACACGTCCACCTTAGGTCACAGTGTGTTGATATATGGTCAGTGGGGTTCGTTGACCTCTGTCTGGTGGAAACCAGGCCATCAACCTCAGGGCTGTTTACCCTGGTTTTCTGTTTTAAATACATTACTTTTTCCTCTTTATTTTGCAGGTGATCAACTTGATAACCTTCCTGTTATGCCATTGCCTGACTTCAATAATACTTTGAATGATGATATACCATCGCTTGAAGTCTTAAGACCAGTTTCCCAAAGTGATCTTATGAAAATCATTACAAGATCTCCTAGTAAATCTAGTCGTTTAGATCCTATACCGACATGGTTCTTGAAAGAGAATATTGATCATCTTCTACCTGTACTCACTAATATTGTGAATATCTCCTTATCATCTGGTATCTTTCCTAAAGGAGCTCATCGTGCTGTAATTAAACCTCTCTTGAAAAATGCATCCATGGATAAGAATAATATTAAGAACTATAGACCTGTGTCTAATTCAACGTATGTAGGAAAACTCATTGAGAAAGTAGCTTGCTCAAGACTAATGGAGCATGTTGAAGCTAACAATCTTGCTGACCCTTTTCAGTCTGCATATAGACCCCGACATAGCACAGAAACTGCTTTGATCAAGGTGAAGAATGATATTATGTTTTCACTTAACTCAAACAAAGTAATTCTTGTGGTATTATTAGACTTGTCAGCAGCCTTTGATACCATCGACCATCATATCCTAGTCTCTCGTTTATCAACGAGGATTGGTATCAAAGGCACTGCCCTAAAATGGTTCCAGTCTTATCTCGATGGCTGGTCAACACAAGTAGACATTGCAGGGGAATTGTCTGCGCCTATCATTTCCAAGTTTGGTCTGCCACAAGGTTCTGTAGTAGGTCCTGTTGGTTTTACAATTTACACCCTCCCGGTTAGTGATATTACTCAGCATCATAATGTGTCATACCATGTATATGCGGATGATATACAGTTATATGTTTCATTTGATCCCAAAATACGTGGTGAATTAGATTGTGCATTGTTGTCACTGCAAAACTGCATCTGTGATATAAAGAATTGGATGTCCATTAACAAGTTGAAATTGAACGACAGTAAGACAGAGTTTTTTATTGCTGCTTCACCACACAATTTCAGAAAATTGCCAGACATAACTCTCACCATAGGAAATATTTCCGTAAAACCTACAGACACAATTAAAAACTTGGGCGCATTCTTTGATGTTCATATGAGTATGAATTCACATATTAACAATGTTAGTAGAACGGTCACTTTTCACTTAAGGAACATATCACGAATTCGTAGATATATTGATCAATCAACTTGTCATCATGCTGTAAGGTCTTTAATTCTCTCTAGACTTGATTATTGTAATGGACTTCTTTCCTCTCTTCCAAAGTTACATGTAAACCGTCTCCAGCGCCTACAAAACTGGGCAGCACGTCTTGTGTTTGAGGTCGGTAGAAGTCATTCAGCTCAACCATTAATTAATTCCCTTCACTGGCTTCCAATTCAACAGCGAATCATTTTTAAGTTACTCTTATATGTCTATAAATCATTGCACCACCTAGCTCCTAATTACCTGTCTAATTGTTTAACTTTATATACACCAAGCAGAAATCTCAGATCTTCAAATGATAACCTCCGTCTAAATTATCCAATTACACGTGTCCAAGCCGGGGATAGGACTTTCACGGTAGCAGCATCCAAAGGGTGGAATAATCTCCCCATGTCCATCAGACAATCTGCCTCTATCGATATTTTTAAGAAGGCTCTGAAAACTCATCTCTTTACATGAATTCTCCTCTATGTTTAATTATTTAATTTAATCAATTGAATTTAATATTTTATATGGAATATCTAATTGTAGCCTTTAATTACTACATGTAGTAAAGACCAATAATATTATTTGATGTTAGCGCTCTGAGCCTTATGGGAATGGCGCCCTAAATGTTCATTGTATTGTATTGTATTCACCATTTTGGATCTTAATGAATACTGACTTTTATCTTTCAAATTTTCAATATGATTTTTATTTCGATGTCTATCCCATTTTCCTCAGGATTTATCCTAGCATAAATTCACTGATGTAAATTGATGATGACAGTTCTTTATGTGCCCCTCTGTTTAACTTCACAGGTACCATGAGAGATCTGTTTATTCTTCAATTGGCAGCTATAAAGCATTGTTGTACATATGTGTATATATATATATTTGTGTATTTATATATTTTTTGAAATTCATTGCTTTGTTTCTCATTACTAATCATATTAATTCTCTCATTATTGCGGTTAGCAATGTTGATTATTATTGTGTGGAAAGTGAATTGAAACATATACCAGGTAGTCTGTTTTCATGTAATTTATACCTATGCTCTACAGGAACAATTTTTTTTTCTCCATTTGTCATTCTTAGTGTGTATTGGGTGTGTTTTCTTGCTGAACCCATTTATTAAAAATCACTTGCATGCATACTACTGTTGCGTGCAAAGAATGGATTATTGGATTGCAGATTAACCATTTACATTTTTATTGACAAGGGATGTAATTTCTTTTCACCAGTCATGATTATTGAATATCCATTAATTACTTGTGTATTACTCATATATGTTGATGACCATTTTTTTTAATGAACATTGTGGCATTAAGTGAAACCACATTGTACAAATCCATTTTTAACAGTATTCAATTGCAGGTTTACATTATGGCACTCTTTGTTTTTACGCCTTGTTTTTCAACGTGCAAAATTGTCAGATATAAAGAGAGAGCAAAAGAGAAAGATATGAGTAGATATTTATCTGACTATGATTCATGAATAGGGAAACATTTCCTTTTTTATTCAAACCAATTAGTCAAAGATCTTTCAACATATCCACTTTTCTTATTGCCATGGATACAAGACAAATTTATAAACATATGACTAATCTAAGGAACTAGTGAGTAAGTCATAGCAAAGGTAAAACTTTTGCATTTCTCATTTCTTAGTAAAGTCAAACAATTTTTTTCAAATTCTTTCAAAGCAGATTTTGATACAACTCAGAGCTTCTTAAATGTTTTTTTTTCTTGTGAAATGATGTTTGCAGAGAATCAGATGGATGTTAATTTTATGTGAAGTAAAAAGAGTGAATTTATAAATTATTATTGGCACTCAGCAGATGATATATAATATTAATGAAAGTTTGAAATTAATAATGTCATTTAGGTTTTTTATTTGACGAAAGTGACCATTTCTTCAAAAAGATAGTTAATAGGGGTATCGTGATTTAAATCTATTCAAAATTGTGTGTATATCAGTAAAAAGAGACATACAGAACAAATCTTAATTTGATATCTCAAATTTAAAACTTTCCTCCTTGTATTTTGCAGGCACAAATGGATCTGCCGCCAGAGAAAGCCAAGCTTCTACGGCAGTATAACGATGAGAAGAAATGGGACCTGATTTGTGATCAGGTAAGATCATTTATTTAGACCAAGAACGATTTCTAGTTCTCCATAAATTAGATTTTCATCATTTCACAAACAAAAACATTGTTTTTCCTGTGAAAATTTCCCCTACTCGTTACTGCAGGTTTTTATCGCCGCTAGATGGGGTAGTAAAACAACGAGTAGGCGAAAGCCTCACAGATTAAACAACCTTTTTGATTGTGAAATAATGAAAATTCTATTTAAATGGAATTTCTACCAATCAGATGAACCTCTTAGATGATGTATAGTTCTGTGTCTATGGCTATAAATATGACCGACCAAAGATATGAATACATTTGTCATTGAAAACTAATCTTTTACAAGACAATGTGATTACAAATGCCATTCACATAAATCATGATCATCCTTTGTTTCCTTACAAAACAATGCTGAGGACATTAACAATGTATCCTTATGAATTATTGTATGCAAATATGAAAGGGTTAGTAAAGGAAACATGAAGACGATGAAATGACATTCTGGGATTATTTATACGAGGAAAGGAAATGATAATGACATGGACTTAAGTTCAGGGTGACATATGAACAATGGCTCTATGTTAATATGAAATGATAATGATTAGTAGATCAAAAGAAGGAGGAAGGAAAGATATATCAAGAAATAGAAAGATTAGAGTAGGATGCAGGAAGGCATGTCTGCGAATTGAAAGAAGATACAAACTCAGACATTTTCATCAAGTTTTAATGCCTTTAGTGAGAGGTCACAAGATAATACTATCTATTTGGAGCCACTCTGTTCAAGTATATGAGTTAACTTGTCTTCTGGCTCCAAACTATCTTTGGAACCCATTAAATACCAATTATAAGCCCACGCTATCATTATGAAACCCCACAGAAATTCAGTTTTGTTTAGAGGTAAAGAATTAACAAGATAATCATCTCAAACAAGTTGATAGTCAGTTCAAATGACTATTCCTTAAGGACCTATGCTGTTTTGCAGGGCCCCACAATAACTTTTAGGATTGAAATGTTTGGGTCTAAATAAAATGAGCCCTATGACCCTATGTAGAAATGTTTTGGGGGTTGACACCTAGATGTTGGGTACCCATGTGTCCAGAGCGCCTATAAGTGTTGAGCATATAGTCTTGCATGTCATATCATCAATAAGTTAATTGATTGTCTAATTAAATCACAAGCCAGACGAACAGAATGTTATGGACATGATATTCACGTAACAACTGCTCAGGCCTCAGTCAGGGTGTGAAAAAAGAATGTTTTTCGCTAAAAGCGAGCGACTCAAAACAGGATGCTGGCAAATGTTGTTCAAGGTTATAAGGTATCATGATAGATTAATGGATATGAAGGGAATTAATATCATGAGCTAGGCTGAACGATCGGTAAACTCAGCTGGACATGTTTCCATCACGGCTGTGTCTTCATGAAAAGAATAATATTTGTCTGTAGGGTGTTAGGCGATTGTAGCTTGTGCTCTTGAGGAATTAGTGGTTTATTAGATTTTTCAGTCCTTCAGGAACAAGTTAATTTTGAAACTTAAAAGAACTGTTTAACATTTTGATTATTACAAGAAGAAATCTATACCGTACCTCTTCCACTTTACAAATGAGTGTTTTACCATTATGAACCCATCATATCATTTTAAGATGAGGAACCTTTTCCCCAAATTTTCAACAACAATCATCCTATCAACAAAAAAAAATAATAATTTATGGGCAGTGGGGCTACTTTTTTCAATAAATGGCCCTGAGCCTGAGAGCAAATCTACATGTATGTACAACCCCTCGTTGACTTTTGCTTCTCTTTTAGATATAAAGACTATTGAAAGTAGAATGACCATGACACTTTTCCCATGCCAGCTTACTCTCCCTATCAAAGCGCCCTACCTAGACTTATCCTAATTCCGGTTCCTTTTCCTGGTTCCTGCTCCTGGTTCCTGCTCCTACATTGTAGTTCCTGTCACAAGCTACTACACTCACTGTAGGGGTCTGGTCTAGAAATCTGAGTCTAGGGTCTGCTTTTTGTCAGTATTAGCCTTCCATGTCGGCAGATCCAGGGCAGGATGAGAGTTTCCTTTTGCTTAAAGTTTGTCGGCCCAACAACAGATGTCATGTACAACTGTATATGTGGGTACCCTACCCCCCCCCCCCTCATCCCCAAAATAAAAAAAAAGAAAAATAAGCAAACAAAGAGATCAATTTATAAAAGAAATCAAATAGATTCTGCACCAATTATTAATCGATAGAAATTCCTAGATAACATAACATAAGATTTGCAGTGAATATCTGTTTAAGTTAATTTTTGAAAATACTGCAGAAAAGTGCAGCCAGCAGTGTTCAATTTATGGATTAGTCTTTTACAGTTGTTCCGATACCATGAAGAGATGTTTGAAAACTTTGCTATTAATTTAAAATGGTGATAGGGTGGATGATAATTCCTGCCCAAAAAAATAACTTGCCTATTTAAAGAAAGGTGTGAAGAAGGGGGCAGGGTCATGGAGGCAACATGGGCTAAATATAAACCAGCCTTTCTTTAATCCATCCTTGACTGTTACTTACATTGAATTTAGCCTGGATTAAGGTGAGTTTGTAATCCAGACAATGAATCAGTTGTAGTACAACATCTGCCATTATAACTCACCTAGTCTAGTTTGACTTGAGCAGAATATACTTTCAGATGGAAAACTTGTGACAGGAAAAGGTAGATGTTGGCTTCTTTTCCTGCGTGTTTCCGATCCTGCTATCTTTCTTTGAGCTCGCCTCTCTATAGATGTTAGTCATTCCAATGGAAGAAATAGATAATGACTATGACAGAGAAGTAGAATGTCAGATATGACATTATATTTGATATTTATTTGATACAATACTGACAAGAGGAAGTTCATTTGTGTCAAAAGATCTTTAAGGGTATAAAGAGAGAGGGGGTGGATATTTATTGGTGTAAATTTTATGAAAGACGTACATGTAGTTACTATTGCTAAGTACATGTATAGATGTTAGTCAAAACCATAAAACAAAATGCAAAAACAAAAATATTGATGACTATGCCAGAAAATCATGATGTCAGATTTGACTTTTGAGTTTTATACACAATACTGACATATGATGTTGTATAGGAGGAAGTATATTTGTGCCAAAAGGGTATTTAAGTAATTAGGGGGGGGGGGGGGGGGGACGGGGGGTACAGCGAACGAATGGATATTTTTTAAAGTCCAGTTATATGATAAGCTCAGAGAGTAGGGTCTGCAATGTGCAAGTAGTAAATGGGGAAAGTTTATGACATTAATAGTTTGCATTAAGTTTTTTAAGGGATATGTGATTGGTTTGGGGATAACAGATATGATATACAGAACAGATGTACACTTTTTTTTTTCGAGGGAAAAGCCTCTTTAGAATGAACAAAAAGTACATTTGACAACCCAAGAGACTATCTTGCATTGAAAAGGAATGCATGTATTCATGAGTGGTTCTATTTTATTCACAGCTGCGGCTATTTTGTTGGTGTCCTCTTACTTGAAAACCCGTCCTAGTTTGAATGCATGCAGCTCGTACAGCCAGTCAATACCCATTGCATAAAATATTGCTTAAGGTTTTGTAGTCCATTTCTTTTCGTACTTAACCCTTTATATGCCGCACAAATAATCTTCCTGTGCCACATTTTATTCATCATAGAATAGGCATACCGAAAGTTTCAAGATTATTTCACTGTTTCCACTTACCAACTTGCAAGATTAATCTTTACCTTTCTGTAAAGCATTTGTCATGGATCTAATAAAGTCCAGAAATTTGTAATTTTGCAAAGCCATTGTGTTAAACAAAACAATCCTTCTGTCAATTGGTGCCTATTGTTTTGTGCAAAATTGCATGTTTGGCAAACTAGTGACCATGCAGAGAGGCTAAGGAAAGCAAGCAAAGGGTTAAAGGAAAGAAAAATCTCATGTTGAGTAGATCGAGGATGTTAGACCAACATGTGGTCTTCCTGATATCTCTTTTTTATAGTAACACCTCTCAGACTTAATGTGATGTTTCCTTCAAAGCCACACTAACCCTTACGACCAACATTCACCATTAAGACCAGGAAGGTACTGATACCTCCAAGAAACCATGACTAAAACCATGGACCTACATGTACTGCATGCTCAAACATTTTATGAAATGAATTTTTGTGTCTGTCTACATTAGAAGGGCATTATTAATTCAGAGACAAACTTAATTTCATGGAGCTAATTCCTTTCTGGTTCTGAGCAGATACTTTTACCTATTCCAAATTAAGACAGTGCTCTCATTTTTAAGTCTCATCGACTTCAAGAATGTTCAAGTTACTCGTTAGTATCAGGTTGACTTTCATAAAAGCAGAACATTTGGTATCACAGATCATTGAAAGTTTGCAGATAATCTGATGTTGGCTGATACAGTTATGTAATATTAAAGTTGGGGTCCATATACATGTATGTGTAATCTTAAACATGACTGAGAGAGAAAGATCCATAGAAAGAGAAATTAATCAAGCTTTACAAATATCCTTAGGAGGTTCTTGCGAAACTTGAAATAACCCTTGCAACATCACTTCCAAGAGATGTTTATCTTCCCATATAATTGGTTAAAAAACTACAAAAAAGGAAACCTTTACTCTAGAATGGATGTTTTGATAGCATGTAAGAATTAAGGAATGACAGGAAACGCACTCAAGTCCTTCTCTTCCAGACTAATACAACTTGGCACATCTTCTTTCCGAAGTATTGTTTTGTTTGGGCTTGAATTTTCTGACATCTGGCATCCGCTAGAATGTTTCTAAATCCTGTCGAGTCATTCTTTTCACCTATCTGATGAAGACAACTTTAATAGAGATTAGCAATAGATATATCACAAGCTATATGTTTTATATGTTTTCCTGCTATTAATAATTTCACAATGACATTCGGGGTAAAGTTCAAAGACACACGTTTATAGCTGAAGGTCTATTTCCAATTTCAAAATTGTAGGAAAAATTGAAAATGATATAGAAATCAAGCTTTCTAGTTAATATGTGCTTTGAAGTGCTGTATCTGGAATTGAAGAAAGAAAGACAAAAAACATATTAGAACCTTTTATAAACTCCCTATCCCCCAAGCAAGTAGCTTGATAGTGCTGTCTTTTTATCTTGCTTTGCTTGAGGGAAGGAAGGCAATATTCCATATGCATTCTTTTTTTAAACTTATTATAATTCCATTTTAATCAAATGCCTTTTCAAAAGATAATAATGGTCCTTTGCATAAAATATTGATTAAAATATCAAATACTTTCGTCTGTCCCTAAAAGAAATTCACTCGAATGATAGTATGACAAGAATTTGTGTTTAAGTTATGATGATATAGGCAAGTGTAATGAATCATAGAAAAATAAGATACAAATTTGTATGTGAATGAATTTTAATTGCTTTATTTATAATTTTTTCCTTCTCATTTCTTCTCTCCAGGAAAAGGTCAGTGCTAAAGCGCCACCTGAACAATACATCGCCAGGATTTGTAAAGTGATGGAACCCGGGAACACGTCCAAGGTCGGTAGTTTTAAGGTATCAATCGCAAACCCACGCAGTCCTGTTCAATATTTACTACTTCTACTACAAATACCACTTGTGTCATTATATAGTAAAGTGGTATTATGGTAGGCTTGCTTCATATAAGCATGGCTACAACCCAGTTCCCTTGTATTGCCGTGGCTTGTTCGTTTGTGGTAAAGTATACTGGTGAGACTTCACGTTACCAGGCATCATGTCTGTTCATCTGTCTGTTTGTCTGTCTGTCCGTCTGTTTGTCTGTCTGTTTGTCTGTCTGGTCGCACGTACCTGCATGTTCAAGTATCTTCCTTTCGTTTGTTGGATCATTGCCATCCTTGCACCTGCTTTCCTGTTTCAAATTGTGTTGATCATTTTCTTGTTTCCTGTATTTCTTGTTTTGGCTTGATCACTACCCCCCTCACCACAACCCCCCCCCCCCCTCTCCCCCCTGTCACCCTCTTCTCACCTACCCTCACCCACCTGCTTTCTATACCACTTGACACCTTATTATTGTTTGTTTTGTGACTTTGTTTTCTACCATATATTTTGTGTTGACTTTCATCATTGGTACCCCTCCTGGTTCTCCACTTTAACAAGTTTTAACCCCCCCCCCCTTCTCTCTCTTGCTCTCTCTCGCTCGCTCTCTCTCTCTCTCTCTCTCTCTCTGTCAGTTTGATGGTCTGTTTGGTCTAAATAATAAGCCAAAATAATTAAAGTTCTTTTCATATTCACAAATGAGACTTTCATGAAGCATATGTCTTCACTTGCAGTAAGTTTGTGCCCTGTGCTAGCTTATTTGGCTTTTACTCACCTTTGAGGAGTGATCACTTTTAAACAAATTTCAAATGATACAAAAAGACAGCATCCTGCCAGTGCCATCATGACAACCACTGTTATTCAAATTTATATCCTGACATCCAAAACATTTTTCTGTCACACCTTTTTTCCCTCCATCTCGGTGGATTTTCTGCATCTGTGAATCATGGAAAAGGTCTTCAGGTTTCAGTTTTATTGATTTTCATACCTAGAATATTTCGGTATTCTTTCCTCCATTCATGGTGTCGGTTCCCCATTTCTTTGTTGTATTGTATATAATATTGTTTTCTTGTGTTTTACATGTTTAATACTATAATGACAGCCACGATTCAGTTCATCATATTCAATAATGTTTTTAACTAATATGTGTTTGTCACATCACTTTTCAGAGTAATTTTTCATGATTTTATTTAAGTTCACCCAACAATTTGGTCATTGTATATTTTATTTACCCCCATTTATATCCAGTTATCCACTTATTGTTAAATCGAAATTAACCAGTTTCATCTTAAAGTGTGTCTAATCCTTCCGTCTCAAGTCACTTTTTAATTTCTCATTATTTTCTTCAATATTTTCATTGTTTTCACTATTATATTTCACAATATTCACTTTGGTACCCAAACACCTCAATATTTTTACCCATAATCACTTATTTGATTGATATTCAGTATCCACTTCAGTACTGGTACTCAATATTCACAAAGTATTAAACACCTCTCTATTTCAATCACCTTTAGAGCTACGATTTTAAAGAAAAACTTTGTGCATTATAACTTTCTCAATGGAGGATCAATCATTTCATTTAATAATTTCACAAGATGATTAACCTTCAGTTTATTTTCCAGTACATTTATTCATTAAAAATAAGATGCTATTTACCGGGTTTCACAAATCGTCACGTATTAGCAATAAACTATCAATTTTACTATCAACACTGCACCTAAACATGACTGTGACATATATAGTCCTGCATATCTTAATATGTGACATTACAACTGTTCCGTGATAACAATTTATTTATCTGATGAGGTTCACTGAATACCAGAGAAAATATTTGGTATCAAAAGAAGAAAAAAAAAACATTAGAGGAAAATGATTTCTTTGATTGCATAAATGAGGTATCACATACATGGGGATATATAGTGAGGGAAATCTATTTAGAGGGCCAAATTGTAGTGATGTCCATTAAGAATGAAAGCAGTATTAATTTCAGGTCTCATGGGGGCCGTACGTTTGTAGATGGAAGCAATAAATATATTGGTATACTGATTGGTTGGTCAAGCAAGCCTGCCTACCTACTGGTTCACTTAAGGTATTAACATCAATCATTGGTTGTCACTGTAAACCATCTCAGTGATTACTTTAATTGGCTGATATCATATGATTCTCTTAACTTTGTAGGGCCCTTATGCATAGGAAATCATTCAGGTCTCCGTTTGATTATAGAAATGATTTGATTCATCTCAAAACATTTGATTTCTTTTCAAATTACATCGACATTCAACAAAATATTAGAACAGGCTAATTCCTCCCTTTTAAAGATATTAAACTAAAGCAAAACACAAACAAAGATGATAGCAAAACATAACAACAACAACAGAATGTGTTCATTTTAGCAAAAGAGGGCATAAACCAAATATTGCACCTGATGTTTGTTGAGCCAATGAACTTATTTATAGATTACCCACCCCACCCTCATACACACATGCAAAACAAAGTTAAATAAACCAGCTAAATACCAAGCATCTTCAGGTTCATATTGACCTGGTGGGAAAACATGTGGGGGGGGGGGGGGGGGGGGGCTGAGTAATAAATTGTACATCATCAGAATCAATTTGTTCATGATGTTGTGCATGGGACAAAAGAGATTCAAGATATTTATATGGGCCTACGGGGTGACTCTCATTAGTTACCGGTATATATTATTTTCCACTCAACGTTTCACTTTTCAATATTGCAGAAGAAACTCTGAATTCTGTGCAAATCAGGGCAGAAATTGTGACATACTTCAAGACTTCCGGTTGTAATTCCCCATTAGACTCATGTACAAGCATCATTTGCTAATGTTTATTTAGGTTACTATAATGAGACAAGCAAGGCCTTTGTGAGGGGGGGGGGGGGGGGGGGGCTTTTTTGTTGTTAAATTCAGAAACCCCTGGTGAAATACGAGGAGTAAATTGGCCATAACAGTCCAATCGAAAGAGCCCTGTCAAATTGTCAAACCATCCATTTCCCATTGTACAGACTTGTTTCCAGAAGTTTGCTCACGTAACATCAAAAACTGTATCTGAATTCTGGGTTTATTTTGGTCAGGTAATGAACTATTTGCCTGTAAGGTGAAGTCTAATTTAATGTATGCAGTCTGCTGTAACAGAGTTTTCCTCTGTGTTTTGTCACAGCCCATTAGAGATGTTAGTAAATTCTGAAATTGGGATGATGAACTATGAGCCTGTCATTCAGAGACTAAGTTTTCCTTTGTAGTCTCATAAACAGGCTTTTTCCTGTACATGTTGTCACGGATCACTGCTGACATTAAGGAACATGATATTATAGATGATGAACTACATGTAACAGCCTGTCGTATGGAGACTAACTGTTATTTCCTGTCTTCCCAGACTCCTTTGGGAATAAGAGGACCGAGACCTCTGGAGCCTAAAGCAGGATAGTTTCTTGTTTTGGAATATCATTTTTCATGTAAAAGTCATGTTCGCCTTCCTGTTTGGTGAAAAGAATGTTATCAAAAATGGGTATCTAAAGAAGTGCAGAAGTTACATGTATATGATACTGGAGTACACAAGCTTGAGATAGAAATGTTTAAGATCATGCAGTTGAGCAAATTGTGAGCTGAAATTCGTACTTAGTCCAATTAAACAATACAGATAGAATACAGGTAATTTAAAAATGAAGTAAGGATTGGGAATATAATGTTTCATAATTTTTTTAAAATATCAATCAACTGAAAGTGAATTGATTAAAAAACCCACAAAAACAGATATTATCCCATTGGCAGCCAAAGGATAAAGATATGGGTTAGCAGAAAGCAAATGAAATTGTAACTGTAAGCTACTGTAGATAAGCTTATGATTTAATCTGCATTTATTCCATCAAATTATTCAATTTTCCTGCAACACCAAACTGGGCTTTATCGAGACAAGAGCTGCTTTAGGAACGTGTGAACAGTATTTTGGAAAACCTTGTTTTGGGGACGCTTTTATTTGGGCGGAAGTAAGTTTTTAGTGGAATGTGTGTGCTCTAAGATCATGGGCATAAATATAACCTAGGGTATTGAAACTAAAGAGGTATCTCTTTGTTGAAACTAAAGGTAATGGATGAGATAGGCAGCATAGATTTGACAATTGAGATACATTTACATTATGCATACTGCCATGATTGAGATGCCCATTTGTAGCTTCTATGAAAGTAACGGTTATAGTGAATATCATCGTACAACCCCCCCCCCCCCCTCCTCATTCAGACTTCTAAAAAGTGTTTGGCTAGGCCTGTATGGCTAGAAATTGTAAAATTCCTTGAAATGCTAGAGCGCCATAATGGCAGCCATGCTGGGGGTAAGAAGGTGGAGCGCTGAGAGTGTCTGACAGACACGAGCGCTAAACAAGAACCCATTATTATTATTTATAATCATTTTATGATAAATAATGTTTTTTTCAAGTCTGAATGAAGTAGCCCTATAACTACCTATAAAAAATTGTTAAATAGCAAACGGCATGAATGAACATTCCAAACGAAAAATAAATTTCCTCTTGTGCGAACAGCCTATGACAAGTAAATGCAGAAAAAAAAGACTTGAAAAGGGAAGATCCATGATGGCCTTGGAGCTAGGAAAGCACTTAAATTTGCATGTATTGATGAGAAGGTTTTCAGCTAGGGTCTGTTTACATTGACAGTAGAGCAACAAGTGGTACAGGTGCAATACACATTCGTCTACACATGAGTCTACATGATATTCCATCCCATTCGTGGGCCTGCTCACTGATAACTGAAATGTGTCATTCATGATAATATAATAATACAGTCAAATCTGCTTTAGTGACTGACCACATATTTTGTTTCCCTTGAAAATGGTTTCTCATTGAAACATGTACTAAAGGAACCTGTCTATAAAGACCACCTGTCTACAAAGACCACTTTTGTGTTTCCCTTAGACGGTCGCTGTAGACACGTTTGACTGTAGCTACATTTAAATTGCGCATGTATCCATCCCGGGAGATGCTCAAGGCGTCTACAAAGTATTGCTCTCGTTGTTCAAGCCATTTGAAGTGATGGTTCAGATTGTACACAACATGAGGTGCTCTTTCATCTTAGAATTTAGGGATGTCTGGAAGAGCCCATTGGTATTGATTTGGTGATTTTTAAAGAGGGAGTTAAACATTGTGAAACTATGTTAGGTTGAAATGTTCTGTGATGTGATGGAGATAACGGGATGTGGATGGTAGTAGGCCCGTTTAAAACTATGAACATTTTTTTCACATACACTGTAAACATATATCTTGCTCAGATACTCATGTAGAAGTTAGAGCAGTATATATTAATGATCCTCTAAATTCATATTCCTGTATGGTCTTTATTTAATAAAATTGTCACATCATTCTTGCAAAAAATAAACATATACCAGAAATTTCAATTGGTACACTATGAAGTGATGATACTTTTATAAGCAGGAAATGCTTAGAAACAAGTAGAGTATAATAACAGTCTGTTTGGAGCAAGAACAGTGTTAATTGACTTAATTCTGTGAAAAAATCACATGAATTAATGCCCTTTTGCCCCGAAACAGACAATTACATTAGTTCAAAACACTTTTGCAACATTTAAAGTAGTTTGAAGTTGTCATGGGAGATGTTTCCTTAACTTGACAATTATTTATATTTCTATTTCTGTATGTGGGTTTGGGTTTCCTTTCAGGATAAGGGATCAAGGAGAGGTCCTTTCAGTTTGACTGCATGCTTCCAATAATGCCCATCGTTTATTTTATGCACTATGATAATGAATTCCTTACCTCAGCCCCGCCAAGAGCAGTACACCTAAACCTTACCCTAAACCCAAGCTTAAACCCAAGCTACCCTCCCCCCCCTCCAAAAAAAAAAACACCCAAAATCCAGCCCTTACCATAAAACTTTCATGAAGTAAAACCTGAAGCGAATGAAGCAAACTAAACATATAACTCCCTCTTTGTACCTTAAGTTGAATTGTCACTATCAAGTCCTAATGATTTAACCTTTATTATATTGATATTTGTTTCATTTTCTCTTTAAATTTGTTTGTTTCTGATTCTGTAGAATATAACTGATTTCTCCTTATTTTTATGTGCCCCAATTCATGACAATTTCCCTCACATATTTACTATAGTTTTATCTTTATTTTCTTATGATTAATTCATTAATTTTTACTAACATACAAACATTATAATGGTTTCCTGAAAAGCAGCATCACTTCTACAATTCATAACTAACTTCACCATTCCATAATGCTCTTTTTGGGAAACCATTAGTTTGATGTCCTATTATAAGGGAGTTTCCAACCAAACCTATCAATTTACAGTCGATTAAACAAGATAGCTTGTTCAAGATAGCTTTCTGCTTGAAGAAATAGATGTGTTTTACACTTTCCATGACTATGAAAAGGAAAGTACATGCTTGGGAAAATATATGCCACTTTGATGAACAGTCTCTGTGATTCAATATCCCTGAAGTCTCTTTGTCTTGTTTGCAAATTTTTGTTGGGACTAGAATTTACTGCCTATAATAAAAGTCATCTCTTATAGCAACAGGGGAGTAAACTCACTGTCAAATTATATTAGTCCATGCCTTTCTTGCTCTTGATACAGATGATAAATTGCAGCCATAATGCCTGAAATAGTGAGAGAACAAATTGCAACCAATTTCAACAACCCAACTACAGGGGTATGTCACCTGGTGATGTTTATTGCCAAACTTCATATTTTGAGATGAACTTGTAATTCACCGGGTTACATACATTAATCTTCTCTTGAGAACCGGAAGACATTAGCTCTGTGTTACTGCCCTTCTGGCTCTCAACAGACTATAGTTATTATTTTAAAAAATCTCTTCTTGGTTGGAAACCCTCTCTAAATAGGACTTAATTCTCTGAAAATGACTTTTTCTTTGTGCTAACTTCAATTTTTTGGACACTGTTCTTTACCCTTACAGAGAACGAGAAGGAAGATGTTTGATACGTCAACGCAGAATCTTCGAGACCTGGAAATCTCACTCAGAACAAATAACATCCAGTAAGTACCTGATAGAGCACACTGGTCTAGTGGTTGTGTGATTGTGCACTTGTGTAGTAGGTCATGGGTTCAAGTCTTAGCCCACCTCTCATGCTTTTTAATACACCAGTGATTTATTCACAGTTGTATGTTTAGAGCAATGAGTTGTCCAGTTTGAAGAAAAAAAAATCATTGAGGATATTTTTGTGTGTGAAGTGCTGTGATATCTTATTGCTTTTAACAGTTATGAAACCAGTGTTTATGATCTGATACTGATAAAATCATTTGAATACTCTAAGGGCAGTAAAGCACAAGCTATGGGCAAACACCAAGTGGTCCAGTGGTTCTTCAAATTGGAAGTTCAGGGTTCAAAGTCCATGTCATCCATTTTTACCCATATCAATTATAATTGATCAAGGAGATGATATTTATGACTGAGAGCTATAGTGAGCAAGCAAACAAACAACAGAACAAGAACCTAGCAGAAAAAATGTAGTTTTTGTTTCAAAATTTTCCTGTTTACACTACCCAACCATGTAGCTGACTGCTAGAACTAGAAGTTGTTTGTGCCTTTGACAGATGCTTGTCAGAGTGAGTAAGAGCAAGATTGTTAGACGTGTCCCTCATCACCTTTTTCTCCCAACCCTGGTCATGTGGTGGTTTGAGAGGTATCCAGGTAGACAGACAGACAGACACACACCTACAAACACTAAGCTTGTTGTTTCCTTTCGAACGTTTAAGGTGTGATTAAAAATAACTTGACAGAAGTTTGCATGGTGTTGGTTGGTACAGTCATGATCAGGATTCGGGGCATAGTTTGTATGTGTCAAAGAAAGGGTGTTAAAAAGGGATATGTTGTCAAAATATTTGACAAAAATTTAACAGTATTCAATGACTTCTTGTCTAGAAACGAATATGTTTTTTTCATTTCATAGCACACTTAGTCAATGCAGTAACAAAGCGTCTCAAAATGTCCCCCAGAGGTAATGAACACACTAATACAATTTTTCAGAGATTTAATCTTGTGAGAAGAAAAACATGCATGTTAAAAGAATTGTTCAAACCGTTGTAAGAGAAATAAACTACAATGCATTTGAGTCTTTTGGACATATTTGTACAAACTTTTAGAAATATTTTTCCCATGATAAAAGATTCATTGAGTCAACTGGCTTATATGTATATCTGATGAAATAGAAAAAGCCTTATCCTCCAATAAATTTAGAATTGTTGATGGAGAGATTTCACCAGGAAACTCATCCACAAGCGATCAAAATCTATCTAAATAAAACCACTACAGCATTGTTAGGGAATGGGGTCAAGGGAAGTATAGTCTTACAAAAAGTTTATGATAATGATCTCCATTGTGTCGAAACAAGAATAAAGAAAATGTAAGAAATGGAATAAGAAATTAAGAATGGCTGCATACCAGAGACTTAAAAATATTACAGTCAAGGATAGTAGAGAAATATACCTTGCTATTTGATTATTTTTATTTGATCATTATTTTATTAATATTTTTATCACTGTGGGGTTTAAAGTGATGTAGTGGAAGTATTATCTGCCGAGAGCTAAAGCGGTGTGTACTCATATTTCCGGCTGCCCGCAAGAAGGCCATTATACTGCTATTGATACGACATTCAGCTTTTTTGTGATCAGCTGATAATATATTTTTTATACATTTATGGACCGTTATGCTACAGTCACAAAGGTTTGTACGAACAATAATTTCGTACAAATCTCCGTTTTTCCATTGTCTTCCCGAATTTCCATTGTCTGAAAATCATTTGTACGGCATTCGTAGCAGTTCGTAATGGCATTTGTGACCGAGGCTTTAGGTGAATGACATTCTCTCTTTGTATGGTAGGATGTCAATATACATCATGTGGAACTTTGAAGATTCACCCAATCAAACAATAGCATTCTAAATTGAAATATATTTTTGTGTGGGATAAAATAGCCCGGATAATGAACCTAAAGTCAACATTTTCAATGAACTACTTGGTCAACATTTCTATGGATTAGTTCCTTTGACGAATGGAATTATGATTGGAATTTGAAATTAAGTCTTCTTTTGTTGGCTGTAATGAATAGGTTTACTTGTCAAAAGCTATAATGCCATTAGTCATTTCAAGCCACAGTCATTGAAACTACATATATTGCACAATGGGCTTGGTGAATGACGTGAAGGTTTACCTTTTTAGATGAATTTTAAAGTTCAAAATGTACCTGTGGAAGAAGAGAGAGAGAGGGGGGGGGGGGGGGAGGGAGGGGTAGGGGGAGGGAGGGGGTGTGTTATAGTTAAATGGATGAATCTTTTCTTTTGCTGTGTGACATTTTTGTGAATTCTAGTTATTCTGATATATTCTATCGCAAAATCAAGCCTCCAAATGCTTGAAAGGGTCTCCTCATTCCACTCCAAAATACAAAATATTTTTAGTATGTATTAAATATCCTGTTTTCTTGTGTCAATACCCTCAATTCTGAGATGCATTCAATATTTTAAATGCATTTTGTATACATTTCATGTATATGGCTATATGCTACATTACAGGTATTTCTTTCATTGTGGAATAAAATCCCAATATCCACAATTTAAATGCAATTAAGAACCGACTAATGAACAGAGGTCTTTTGATTGTTTACTAATTATTCAGATACAAAGGAGAAGATTTGTAGATCAGCATTTCAAATTAAGTGTTTGTCAATAGTTGCTACTGGCCTACTATTGAAGTGTATGACATGATTAAATGATTAATCAACTGACAGCAAAGTGACAGTGTTTCCTTGACCAGGGAGCTTTCAAAGAATTGCGTTGCTATCTCTCTCTCTCTCTCTCTCTCTGTAAAAGATTCAATTAAAATATTCCAATTGTCACAGTAAAAGATAATACAGATTTTGGACAGCGCAAGGCGCTTAAGGCAAACTGTAATAATTGTATCGCTTTCAGTGATTGAAAGAATAGAAGAAAGGATTTCAAGTGCCATTAAAAAAAATCCTAATCTGGACAGAACTGATCAAGGCTAACAGCAAATTGTGTTACTTTCCATGTTTAAATGAATGGAAGAAAGGATCTAAAGTGCCATACTTAGTAGAGAAAAATCATTTGAATCATTTGACAGGAATGGTCATGCCAAACTGATTTTACTTTGTGTCTGAAATAATGACAGAAAAGATTTCAATCCTGTGGTCAAAAACTGCTGAGCTATTTGACAGTTCTGTCTGGGCATTGACTCTGACTGAATGCCAAGCTGCTGAATCACTGAACATGTGACAAAAAAAGAAAGAATTGTTGGCAATATAATGACAACTTGTACAAGGTGGTGATAATCTGCTTCAACTACCTTGCAAGATGAGGGGGGGGGGGGGGGGCTTTCAAAATGTCACCTGTAGGACAAGAATATCAAAAATACAAGAATATAATTTCCAGATATAGATGAATGCAACGTACGAAGTTGGAAGTTTGATTTGTTTCTTAAAATGTACAGGTAGTGTGTTCTCCCATGCTCGATGAGAGCCAGAAGGTTATTAACTGATTAAAGGATAAACAAATTAAATCCTTTCTGGCTCTCAACAAAGATTCCTCAGGGAGTGGAGCATGTAGATTAGCAATTGAATCCAAGGACCATGGTAGTAATAATTACAATTTTAAGCGCTTAGAAACGTATTGTGAAGAGCTATACAAATGTGACAATTATTATTATTATTATATGACAGAGGAATGTGTGCTTTTGCTTTGTTATGGAGCATTTATATTTTGACTGGCATTTTGTTCACAGCTTCACCTAGGCCAAGTGTTGATTCCGCGGCTTTTACCCCTTTCCCCTTTTATTTTCCCTCCTGTTTTGGAGGAGGGGTTGGAAGAGTTGGCCTATATTGTGCAGGTGCAAGGGGGCCTGAGGAAAAGAAAACACAGAGAAGAAAAGCAGACATTTTTCCAATTGTAACAAAATTTTCACAGCTATTTTGAGCCCAATCTGAACTAGATTCTGTGGTGTTTGAGAATAATGTTTCCAACTTTCCATAGTATATTGTGCAGCGATAACAAAGATGTGTGTTTGCAATTACTGTCAGTTTCAGTCCTCCAAATTCACTCCCATAGTTTGTCCCATTTTATCAGAATATCAAGCCTTTCAACAACAACAAAACCTTTATATTAGTTTCCAAACCTACCCATCATCGTTGTATGATTAGGTGTGAGGCCTATTTTTTATGTGAATGATTGAACTGAAACTTGAAAGTGAATAATGACATAATATTATTTATTGAAGCAAAGCATGATACAAGCAAGCAGGAAAATGAATATCTGGGAGCCTAAATCAGAAAATGTTTCTGAAAATAAGTGACTTCTACTTGCCCTTGGTAGAGTGCAATAACAGGATCTTGCTGCCCCAGTCCTCATCCATAGGAGCATAATTAGTCTGGACTAGGGGCAGGTTCATGACCCAATGGATTACATGGCCTTGTGGGAGTGTTAGAAGGGCGTTAGATGACTCTACTGCCTTTCTTCCACCTAACAAGGGCGTAAGATGGATTGGAACAGGTTGCTTTGCTATCTAGACAGCTGGAAGGGTGTATACTTGAAATGAAAGAAGTCTGTAGTCAATTGGTTAACATTTATGACATCAACAGTAAATTAAGTAAAGGAACATTCCTGTAGGACACTAAAACAAAAAGACACTATTTTTTCTTACTTTGATTTCATTTTGAAATTTTGTAAAATACTAAATAGGTCATTCTGTGTTTTGGGGGACTATTTTACCACAGTCCGAAATTCTGATTCCAGTTGTTGAAGACAATGACATTGAAATGTTTATCATGGTATCTGTCTTGCACTCACAAAAAAGAAGGGAAAAAAGTGCTGTGTCCTTTTCCAAAAGGTGAGAGGTGACCAGGAACTGCCTTGTCATGTTCTGGTGCAAGGTCAGGTTTATGCAAGGACCCACAGAGACCAGAGCAACCAATCCCCAGCCAAATTACGGAGCTGGGAAGGAGGAATTAAACGATCATGATGTTTCCAGACTGTGGGTTTAGAGAGGCAGGGGTGTTGGGATGTAGTTTGCTGCAATTAGCCGATTAGCGACCGGCTTGTTAAATTGCTTGTCTAGGAAGAGGATGAAGTAGAAATAGTGAACTTGAAATTAAGTGCATGCATGTGTATCTAAGTGAAATATTATGCTGTCTCATGATTTTTTACAAAATTTATGATACAGGGGCACCAGTTATTTTGATTTTGAATGACTATGCCTTCAACGGTTTATTCTCTTGTATCAAATCCGTAATGTAAATCAGGTAAATGGAGATAAAGGACTTGTATGCAAATTTGTTGTTTGAGAGCCGTATGGCTTTTAGATTCAAGTTAACCGACTATGCCACGGAAGCAGTATGTGTTTATACTTGCATAGAAAGTGAAATATTCATGTGTGTGTGCTGATAGATACATCTAAGTAGTTTTTTTGCGATTGAAACCTTTGAAGAAAATCTTGACTAAAGGAAAGGACTCAAGTGATGATGATGCATGGGTGTGTCACAAATACAACACAAACGAAAAATAAGTTTCAAAACGGAAAGCATGACTGTTTTCTGTGAACGATTATTCTTTGCAACATAAAGAAACTAATGCTGTAATGATGATACCCATGTTAAAGCTCTTTGTTCGGCTCCTCATATGTCTTCTAATTGCTTATATGTGCTCTAAGTGCTCTTTCAAGTTTCAATAAAAGTTGAAACATCGTGTATTCTTTTGGTTCATAACAATTTGTATCTTTGGTTGTAAAGCTTTTAGGAGTAACAGATTTCATCCAAAAATCTTTAAAATTGCTTGTACAGTGTACCTTCATGGCTTCAACAACAGGATAAAAATATGTGGAATTCTTTTTTTTTTTTAAATGATCGATATCTTTGTTAAAAAGTTGTCTGTACTTTCTGAGAACTCATGCAGAGATAAATTTAAAAGCATTCTCCAGAATGCAACATAATGTTGTGGGGAAAAACCACTTACCCGGTATCAAATAAACCTTTCATAAACCCCCAAGAGTGCTTAATACTAGGAGCAGAATAATCGTTATGAATGTACCAGCATCAAAATCATGGGCATTATTTAGCGATTCTATCATGCACATAAACGCTAGCATTTCTCGGCTAATGCTAGGTTTATTAACACATTAATGTGAAGATAGCATTATCCCATGCTGATGATTATAGCCAAAAGACTTCTGTTTTATTTAGAAAGAGGAAACATGAAAGAAAACCACAGGCATGCATGTATATTTATTTCAAGCTCATAGAAACAGCACTTAGTGATGGACGGCGCAAGGAAGTGGAATAATTCTAAAAGCAACGAATGTACTCTATATTTATTTTCTTTCTACTCATCTGATAGATGATGGAATTCATTGAATACTCCCTTTCGTAATTTGAATTGCTCAAATATTTCTCCCACTGATTTCTGCTTCAATAGTCATCCGAGAAACTTTATTTTTAATATGGTACACATTTTTGTAACACATTCATTGAGCTGCTAAAATGCTAAAGTTTTGATCACTCAGAACTTTTGCATGAATGATTTAGTGAAGTTCTTTCATTCTAATAGGAGCTGACACTGATTGTGAAGTTGGGAATCCTTCATTTTATTGCCTGAAATTGTCTGACATTTCACCAATCAAACCGGTTATTTTATTGTGACTGGAATATTTGTCCTGTCCTTCAACCTAATCCTGACCTGTCTCAATTAATCATAAATGCATCTGTTGGGTTTTTTGTTTTTGTTTTTAACAGACTTTTTAAAATAGGAGCTTGGTGAGAGAATTTTATTGCAAATTGTCAATCTTTATTTCCTATAATTGTCTACAAATCGACCGTCTTTCCTTCCTTGCCTGGGTTCATCTAGAAGGCAAGTGGTTGTTTATCTTTAGAAGTGGAAATGGAACGAGTTTATCTCAGTATTTCAGGGTCTCCAATCTTCAGCAAACATGTTTTTTTAATTTATTGTCATTGCTTTGATTATTCTGTAAAAGTTGTTTTCCTCTTGTTCAAAGATTTTACCAATTTGTGAAGACTACTCGATTTTCAAAGGGATTGGACCTTCTGGTCTTTATATGATAGCCATTAAGTTAAGCATAGTTCGTTACCTTCTCTTATGAATGTTTAAGTACTGTATTACACACTTGTTGTGGATAAAATTCTCCCTCCCGTATTCTCCCTCCCGTATTCGATGGAAGAAAAATAAAGTTTACTCCTTTACCTATCCTTTTTGCTCCCCCCCCCCCCCCCCTCCACTGAACTACATGTATTGTGTGACTTTTGTTGTACACCTTAAGTGCCTGTTAGCCCAGTATTCACGCTTGGTTGCTAAGTCTGCGGGACCTTAAGTGTCCTTAATGGGCCGGCTATTACGCAGACCTCATTCTCGTAACACCAACATGTGACCTCATCACCTGATATTAATTGAGCTGAAATTTGCGAGGAAGTGTCTATGAAAACACTGGCCGCTTGGCGCACCACGTATGCCGCAAATTAAAAACCGCTTATCAGTCGGCTGACAGATGGCAGTTAGACTTGGTTGACCAGTCTGTTACATGTACTTCTTTAGTGTGGCCCGAATTGAATGATTCTGTGAAAGTGTTCAAGCCTAGACTTTGTATCCAGGTGTTAATATTTGACAGGCTTCTTTCATTTTGCTTTGATATTGGAGGAAAGTGTTTGTGTGTGTATGTGTGTCAGAGAGAGAGAGACAGACAGAGAGACAGAGAGTGAGAGAAAGAGAGAGAGAGAGGTGGGAGAGATACATGTAGAGGTTGAATTTGAAGAGAGAGGGCTATATCTGATCGATGTGTCATCATTGCTTGCCTCATTCAGTTAGGAAGATTGTAGACTCACTTCAGAAGCAGCCCAGTATCTTTGTCTTTATCTTCTACTCATTCAAGGCAATGAAACAAAACGTAAATGAATACCTCAATACCAATCAGTGCTCAAAACACCTGGTATCCAAGTCTAGCTTGCCATACACCACAACAGAACCTCCCAAAAGCTGGGCGACATAAAAGTGGACCAAAATAGCAAGTTTTTGTGTGATACAATCGAGTTGTGTGCGTCATTCTCCACTGTCAAGAGACTTGAAAAACAAATATCATCCTGTTGAAAGCTGAAATGGAAGAGATAATTGATGATTTCCCCTCGCTGGAATGGCTGCAATCTACTTGTTTGTTAATACTTTTGGACACAACCACGTCTGGCCAGTATGGTTCGACTGTGGAATCCATGTTTATTCACTAACTCGTATAACTATGAATATAGATATTAATTGTATGTGTACATTATGTACATTGTTTGTAACACACCTGTACCAGTGAGCAACGAATTTCCATTTGTATGGACAATAAATCAATTTAATCCAATTCAATACCTGTACTCTATGTCAGGTATGAAATGACATTCAAGCAGGTATTTTGTGCACTTTTTGGTAGCCTTCAAGGCAGAGCATATTTTCCCGGTTCTTCATGAAACCAAGATCTTTTGAGTCTGGATAACAATATCCCGCTACACACTCCCCAATGTTTGATACTATGGAACACATGTACCTTGGCACCATGAAGTTGTGTGATCTAATGCAAGTTAACATTTAATATTTCTTTAATCTTAAGTATGTTGAATATTAATATCAATTATTTGTATGCGCTTTCAGCATCTCTACAGGTGGATATGTTGCGCTTTATAAATATTGTTATTATTATCATTGATTGAGAACAGATTAAATTCATGATTCGTATTAACTTATAAAGATGACACTTCTCTCTAATATTGATGATTTGTTCTTGTTTTTCTTGTGCAGGTGGGTGAGGGAGTTCCTAAATGAGGAGAACCTTGGGTTAGATGTCCTGGTGGAGTACCTGCAATGGCTCAACAAAACCATGACGTAAGTAACCGCAATCCTTCTTAAAGACCATCTGTACTAGTTTGGCAAGGAGGGATTAGACCATCCAGGATGGTCACTGACAGGTGGCTTTCTCATCAACTCGGCTTTCAATTAACATAATAAAAAGAGGATCATGGGAGACCAATGGTCACCGATTAGGCATTGTTTTCTATAAAGAGGGAGCAAGTAGCTACAATAAGTACAGTGGGGCTTTAAGATATGCCACTTTTTAGGCTCTGGCATTTTCATATGTTGTATGGGTGATGAACAGGGCCTCAACATGGATAGGAGACATCAGGCATCTCGAAGAAAAAAAAAGTATTCCCTGTAAATTTCTATTCTTGGCCAGAATCAAGGCCCATACAAGAGGGAGTTGTTATATGTAGATTGTTAAACAAAGCAATCGTTCCATCAGTATTGGTGCCTAATATTTTGTGCATAATTGCAAGTGTGGCAAACGAGCAACTGTGCAGAGAGGCGAAGAAAGCAATCGTAATGTTAAGAGTGAGAGGATTGGGAATAGTATTGCTTGTTATTTTTCTTCTTATCAGCTGCAGTACTGTTTGCGAGATACTTGCGCTGATTGGCATCTGCACCAAGTAGATTTGATATGGTTATATGTAACATGAGCATGACACAAACAGACCAATCCAGCCAATAAACGCTATGTGTCTTTGCGTTCATCCACTAAATTAGCCAGAGTTATCTGATCTTATTCCCAGTAATCGTCTAAATGCCAAACCCGGTCTCTATTTCATTCCCCTCAGGCACGAAGAACATCTAGAGACGCTCCCGCCAAAGCAGAGGAGTGCGCTGAGCGTCCGAGGGTCGAGGCACGGGAAGAAGTTTTCGATGCAGTCTCATCTAGCGATCACTAGAGATGACGTCCACGTCTGTATTATGTGCTGCAGAGCAATCATGAACTTCCAAGTAAGTATTTCTAACGGCAGCAAGAGTCCACCTCTACAGAAAGACCACTTTTATATAAAGACCACTTGTTTCTCAAGCGTCAAAATCTTATTACAGCAATTCTGCTTGGAATTATCACAGTGGAACACACAAGTACATGTGCTTCAGTAACAACCTGTCTATAAAGACCACTTTTCAATGATTAGTTATATAGGGTTTGTGTGGCAAAGAAAAATCTGGAAAAGTCAAGAAATGATGAGGAGCCATAGGTATTGTTTGTTTCCAAATTTAAATGATATTGATGGGATTTTAATGAGAAAATTAATAATCATTGTTAAGTCACAGAATTTATTTTTGTAGGAGGTGAAGGATCACCATTAAAAATATTTGTTAATCATATTTTAATCATATAAACCACCTGTTAATTAAGACTGCTTTTCATGGACTGATAGCCTTGTCTCTAATCAATTTTTTGGAAAAACTTTGTATGGAATAGAAAAAAGATATTTATTCTGATCATCATCATTTTTGTTTTCTTTTAAAGCTAATTTTGAGGTCTGGTAAAAGAATTTAGTTTTCAAAGAAACCAATTTAGACTAATGCAGATTGTTTGTCATGCTCAAGGCAGGTTGTTTTGAACATATAAACAAGTCTACAAAACCTTGCCCAAAAAGTTGAGGCAATTCAGTGTGTGCAATCAATTTTTGCACAGATGGTATGATGATAAATCGCTGAAGAACTTGTGAAAAACACATGTAAATCTGCTGTTTTTCCAGATAAATTTAGGATATTTGCATTTTTATACATGAGCACAGCACGTGCACTATTCCATAAACCTCAGGAGTTATGAAATTTGCATCAATTTAATCCAATTATGCCATGTCAGTATTTTGCCAAGTTTTCGCCCCCACTAAAATTAGTGTCTCTCAGTCACAAAATGGAGCTAGCTTCATGGTTACCAATAAGAATAAAAGTGTGAAAAATGACAGATGGCTTTACATTCTGAAGCTTGCCTGTGGGAGAAATGAAAGGAAAATTCCATTATTTCATTATAAAGCAATTGGTAAAAAAGGGTTAGCTCTTAAGAATAGGGAAAATCCTGTAATGATATAATTGGACAAAGTGGTATCATACATGCTTTATAGCATGGTAGAAGTGGGCTAGTAATTGGCTATGGAGTCAGTGATGGTGTTATGTAGGTAACATATTGCCTGATATTTTAAGCTGATTGCCAGAATCTCACAGAAAGCTTGCGACAGGATTAAGAAACAAGGATTTAAATGGAGATGAATTGTTTTACTTTCTTTCCTTTCCTTTTGCTTGTGGTTATCTTAATGTTACAGTAGGAAGAGAAAAGAGAAAGTTGGTAGAGATGGATCCTTTATTTTCTTTATGGATATCTTTGTCTCCAAGTTCAGTTTCCAGTGTAGTTCAGGGTCTGAAATAATGTTTTGTTTTGTTTTGTTAATTGGGGGGGGGGGGGGGAATAGTGATGTCTCTTTATGTATGTCTGTATCTTTATCTTTGTTTCTCAATGTTTCTCCTCCTCTCTCTCCCCCCTCTCTCTCTCTCTCTCTCTCTCTTTCTCTCTGCCACTCTTCCTCTCCCACTATTCCTCTCCCCTTTCTGTCTCTATCCCTGCTCCTATCATTCTATCTCTTAATGTTTCTCTTATCCGTATATCTGAAGTTCCCTATCACATTTCCACTCTAACCACACATCCTGTTTCTAGTCACTCAGTGAATTTATTTTGTATGGGTGCCATTCCTCTCTCTTTCACTCTCACTCTCTATCTCTTTATTTCTTTCTTTCTCGTCTGTTTTGGTAGAGCGGAATTACTGCATTGATGTATTTGATGTAGTAAAAAAGAAACCATTTCAAGTAGAAATTGACTAACCTTATAAATTATCTTACCGAATGTCTCCCTCTCTCTTTTTGTTCTATCTTTTATTTTATTTTCTTAAGCTACTTGTAGCTTCAGTTAAAAAGTTATTCATACACTTACCAAGATTTTAATTTTGTTTAATGTGAAAAGTTGATTTGTCCTGATTTATGTTTATTGAGAATGTGACATATATACACATTTCAAGTAGAGATTTACTAACCTAATAACTTATCTTATTTCTCCCTCTCTCTCTCTCTATTTTTATGCCTCCGCCACCGAAGGTGGTGCCGGAGGCATCATGTTTTCGGGTTGTCCGTCCGTACGTCCGTACGTCCGTCCGTACGTCCGTCCGTCCGTCCGTACGTCCGTCCGTCCGTCCCGTTTGACCGTTATCACAATATCTCAAGAACCATTTAAGATTTAAACTTAAGACTCGGGAATAGTATTTATCACCATAGGAAGACGATCTGATTAGATTTTGGAGTACGTAGGTCAAAGGTCACAGGTCACAGAGGTCAACTTATGAAATTCCTTGTATTGAGTTTGTTAGCGCGATATCTCAAGAACCATTTGAGATTTAAACTTAAAACTTAAGGATAGTATGTATCACCATAGGAAGACGATCTGATTAGATTTTGGAGCACGTATGTCAAAGGTCAAGGGTCACAGAGGTCAACTTATGAAATTCCATACATTGAGATTGTTTTCATGATATCTCAAGAACCACTGGAGATTTAAACTTCAAACTTAGTGATAGTGTGTATCACTATAGGAAAACAATCTGAATACATTTTGGAGCACGTAGGTCAAAGGTCAAAGGTCACAGGGCTCATTATGTATGCAAAAACAGCTTGTGATCGCGTTATCTGAACAACCGATTGATGGATTCCTGCCAAACTTTGGTCATGTATGTATCTTGCAGAGCTGATGAACTGATTAGAATTTGGGGTCACAAGGTCAAAGGTCAAAGGTCACAGGGCTCATTATGTATGCAAAAACAGCTTGTGATCGCGTTATCTGAAGAACCGATTGATGGATTCCTGCCAAACTTTGGTCATGTATGTATCTTGCAAAGCCAATGAACTGATTAGATTTTGGGGTCACGAGGTCAAAGGTCACAGCGCACATTATGTATGCAAAAACAGCTCGTGATCGCGTTATCTGAACAACCGATTGATGGATTCCTGCCAAACTTTGGTCATGTATGTTACTTGCAGAGCTGATGAACTGATTAGATTTTGGGGTCATGAGGTAAAGGTCAAGGTCATGCGGCTCATTATGTATGCAAAAGTAGCTTGTGATCGTATTATCATTAGAACAGATTGATGGATTCCTGCCAAACTTAGATCATTTATGTATCTTGCAGAGCCAATGAATGGTTCATAAGATCAAAGGTCATGGGCTCATTATGTATGCAAAAATAGCTTGTGGACGCATTCTCATTAGAACTGACAGATGGATTACTATTTAACTCAGGAAATCTTGCAGAGCCAATGAACTGAGTAGATTTTAGGGTCATGAGGACAAAGATCAAAGGGTCATATATGTTTATGAGAAATTGCTTGTAATCACGATATTCTGAGAACATGTTAATGGATTACAATTGAACTTGAATTTGAAAAATTTCTTCCGTTTCGGTTTGTAAAATTGCTCTATGACGGAGGCATCATTTTCGACTGCGCGCAGTCGAATTCCATCTAGTTTGTTCCTCTCTTTCAGTATGGTTTCAACCTTGTTATTAATCACAAAGGACATTTTTTTTCTCTCCTGTTGTGGAAGTACACTTAGATTACTGTATTGATGTATTTTATGTAGTAAAATGGACACATTTCAAGTATAGATTTACTAACCTGATATATTCTCTTTTTTCTCTCTCTCCCTCTGTTTTGTTTCTCTCTTTCAGTATGGTTTCAACCTTGTTATTAATCACAAAGAATGTATCAATGCAATAGCCCTTAGTCTCAACCACAAATCACCCAGGTAAGTCATATTACAACATATTTATTTCATTTTTCTTTTTTTCTTTTTAAAATTACTCGTAGCTAAGTTTGTTATGACTGAATATATATTTATATATATTTTCTATATACATACAGTTAACAGCTAAGTTATTCATACCCCTTACCAAGTTTTGTAATTTTGTAAATATGTGGAAAATTGATTTGTCCCACTATGTGTTTCTTGATAATGTGCCATATCAAAGCTGACATCTGAAAGTATTCAACAAAGACTCTAGTTCAGCCAATTCATCTTTCATTCTTGAGTTGCTAAAAACACAAAAAAATTGAATTTACACAAAATATATTGGGTATGAATAATTCATTTGTTAACTGTGTATATGTGTTTCACACATTCAGACCAAATTTGCACTGAATATCTTATATTACAAAAAAAAGGATACACCGTTCATGTACGTACATGTATCTGCCATTTAGTTTGGTAGAGAATGTCTTGAGAAGTGAGCATAGAAAGATGAGAAAATGCCCAGAGCATGCAAGTACCTATAAACAGGTGAACAAAAGCAGAGAAAAGTTTTAATGCTTCAACCTTTCCTTTATTTATCACTCCTATTGAAATTTCACAATCAATATCATGAAACAGATTTTTTAGAAATAGAAAACTGTTAAAATGAAATGCAATAAACAAAGATTATCAATTTATCTCCTTGACTTTGCTACCTCATATGTTTGTGTGTATATTGAACTTAGTTTCACCTGTGCTTGCTACTCTATTAACCTCTTGTAAACTCCTCCAATAAATTGAAGATCTCCCTCCTGAAGAAGGGAAAGTACTGTCATCACTGCCATGTGTACAATGTAGAATTGAAAGGAAGAGATAGAGAGAGATCTTAGAGTAGAGAATGTCACAGATTTCTGTCTACTCACCTAACAAGCCAAGATGGTGATAAAATCAAATTAGGTAATAGACAGCAAAAACAGGTGATGAGCGAAGAGGAGAGGTTGATTTTATTTGCTCTTGACCTGGGGTTAAGAAAGACGTCTAATGGTTTAACTCTGGTTATATTTAGACACATGTGAAGGTGTTTGATTTGGTGGGAACTACCCAGCAAGGTGCAGCAATTTAGTGATGGGAAATTCTCCACACTGCATTTGGTCATAAATTAAACATCCACACTCCTGTATGCATAGTGTAGGGCACCTAATTTTATTTGAATTATTTTCTTTAACTTCTGTCACTTCTCGTCATACACCTGTACATGCTCATGTAATGTACTTTGATGGCATGATGCTTTTGTAGCTTAAAATATGCAAGGAGTGTCAATGATATGATGTCTGTTTCACAGTAACAAAATTGTTATTAATTTACAACAAAATGCACATGGTCAGTTGATGTAGATTATCATAGCAAAACTTTCATATCATATGTATTTATCCGCCAATATTTAGAAAGAACAAAATCAGTCAGGTTTCCATTACTGTATTTTCTTGTTACTATTTTTGTTTTTTGTTTTTGTTTCTTTTTTCAGAACCAAAGCCTTAGTGTTAGAGTTGTTAGCAGCTGTGTGTCTCGTCAAAGGAGGACATGAAATCATCCTTAGTGCATTTGACAACTTCAAATTGGCAAGTATTCTAATGTGTGGCAATCTTTATCTGTAAAGCGCTGAGAGACATCATTGATATATTAAGCGCTATATAAAAGCAGATTATTATTATTATTAGCTATGGATAGTGGTGTATGAAAGTGAAATGAAGTTTGACTCTTCACATAAATGTACCTCAAACCAATTTTATGAAAGATATACATCTTATCTTGTTAATGCATGTATTATTATTATTGAGGTGAGGGATAGATTTGTAAGTGGCTGATGTAATAAACGTAGTGACACTTTCATTTAATACCCCAGACTAGAGGAAGGAAAAGTTTTATTAGTAAAGTATTCTTTGCTTTGTAATGAAGCATGTAGATATTTCTGAAATGTAGTAGACATGTAATTGTCATCAGTAACAGTTACTGGGTATTGGTAATGTCAATGCAGAGAAATTAAGAAATGGTTCCCCAATAAATGTAAATATATATGTAGAATAAAAAACTTTGAGGAGAAACACTTCTAAAGACAATATCAGTTTGTACTTATCCATCAGTCTCTCTCTCCCTTAATTCTTCCTTCTCTATTTTTAGCCTTCTTCTTCATCCCTACTTAATCTTTAATTTTGTAATTTTGTTTATATTTTTAGGTATGTGTAGAGGCGTGTAGGTTTCAGAAGATGTTTGAGTACTTCACAAGATATGAAGAAGCTAGTATAGACTTCATGGTAAGTATATAACCTTCCTGTGATTCTCTCTCCCTCTCTCTCTCTCTCTCTCTCTCTCTCTTTCTATTTCTCTCACTCTCTTTCTCTCACTCTCTCTCCCTTTCTTTTTCTCTCTCCTTTTTCTCTCTCTCTTTCTATCTCTCTCTTTCTCTCTCCTGTATCATTCTTTTCTCTGACTGTTTCTCTCTTCCCTCCCATCTGTCTCTCCCTGTCTCTACCCCCCCCCCTCTGTCTGTCTGTATGTCTGTCTGTCTGTCTCTCTCTCTCTCTCTCTCTCTCTCTCTCTCTCTCTCTCTCTCTCTCCTGCACCATCACTGTCTCTGAATGTCTATCTCTCTGTATCTCTTCTCCATTTTCCCTCCTCTCTTTATCTTACTCCATCTGTGCCTTCCGTCCCTCTCTGCCTTCTCCTTTTCCTCTTTTCTCCACCTACCTATGTCTTTCTGTCATTCTTAATCTTATTGGTAAAATTGAGTTCCAAGAAAATATACTGAAATTGGTATTGATACATGTAGCTTACATTTCAAAATCAAATTTAGTACTATAGAAAGTGTCAAGATGTAACACTGAACTCCCTTCATATAATCTTGTGGATCATTAACTGGTTTAGGCCAGGTTATGGAATCTACCACAAAATGTTTGCAACTTCAGACTCATACAGTGTAATTTGTTCATATTTTATTACAATATTCTTTTCTCCCATTAACGTTTCCATTTGAGCTTCTAGTCTTGTCTTATTTTCTCATTTTCTTTTGATATTTTTCATCCTCTCTCTCTCCCAGGTGGCCTGTATGCAGTTCATCAACATAGTTGTGCATTCGGTAGAGAACATGAACTTCAGAGCACATCTCCAATATGAGTTCACATGTCTAGGACTAGATAACTATTTAGAGGCAAGTATAGGCATGAACGTGTAACGTGTATGTGGTGGTGGTGGTGGTGGTGTGGGGGGGGGGGGGGGGGGGGGGGGGGGGACGTAATTCAGTTAATTTTAATTGAATTTTTTAAAGATGTTAGTTTTATTGTGAATTCTAGGACTTCCAACTTCAGGGTTAGACTCATGTTATGTGGGGGGGGGGGGGGGCATAACAAGTGTTACATATACTATTGATATCAGACTAAAGTTTGATTTAGGATTTATCTTAATCAACTTCTTACTCTCTACAAGATACATGTATTTGCCATGGTCATTGATTTATCTTGAAGTATATTGAATGGTGAAATGGCATGAAATAGCATGTCTACAAATCTGTTTTTCATTTATTTCTAAACTATTCGAAGAGATATGCTTGTGAATTGGTTTGCAATTCATGAGAGGCACATTGCCATGGACATAATGCCCACTTTGAAGCCAAATGCATCATTGTCTTGAAAAGAAAGGTTTTTGATATAATGGACATTTCCAGAACACTTGATTAAACAATAGCTTCAATATTGTCTTGTATAATTAGGAATGGAATTTTTCATCTGTATTTGTTGTAGTGCATCCAATTTGTTATCTGTCAAAGTTGAACAATGCCTGAAGCATGGAATCTATTTGGATATCACAGGAATGCCATTATTGTGGTTTAGTCATCTGTACAAGTTTGTGACTAGAGACTTCTGTTTAACAGCATTTTATCGTGTTCCAGGAAACATTTCTGAAATATGATTTTATATATTCCAAACTGTCTTCATTCCGTGTTCTAACTTTCGGCCTTTTTTTTGTTTCTTTCCCTCATTACTTTTTGGCCTGCTTGTGTGAAATCGATTCTGCTCTCAACCTATCTCCCCCGGCTGTATGCCTCCCTCAAAATGCTCTTTGTCTAATGAATTTGCTCTCTCTCTCTCTAAACGACCGTGCATGGTTTTGTCATCGATGCTCAATAATCCTTGCGTCATTAACGCATGTCCGTTCGTTTGTTGAATGCTTCTTCTTTGTAACCGCATGTGAATTTGTTCTGAATGCCTTGCCTTTGTCATGTATATTTCTCTGCATTTTTCATTCAATTGCGACCGTACCTGGTAAATGACTTTGTATCTGCTTCTTATCTCCTCCCATCCTACCCTACGTCTTCATATGTTTCTTCCATCCACCACCTGTATTTGTGTGTTTCTTCCACATTGAATGTCAATCCTTTTTCATTATCTCCCCCTCTCTGTTTTTTTCTCACTGACATCCAACCTTTATTGATGCTTCTCTATCTGTTGTATATTTGTAATGTTTGACTGTTTTATCTATCTTCCTCTTTCATTTGTAAACCTCTCTTTTTCATTTCTGATATTTTTTAACTTTTGTGTTCTCATTCACTTATTGTAATCTTTCTGCACACACACACATTTTATTCTATTCTTTCTTCTCCTTCATTCTAACCCTTTCTTCTAAATTCATTTCCAAATATTGTTCTTTGCGCACCCCTCATCTGTGTTTTTGTTTTTATAATTATGTTTCCTCTTTGGTTTGTCAACTTCAAAACCCTTTGTTGCGTAACACTCTTTCTGCCCCTCCCTCCAAATGTTCCATATCTTTCCATTTTCCATCCTCTATGCATTTTCCCTTCATCCCTTACCTTCCTTCTGCTTATATCCTCATCCTTGTTACCACATCCACAATCTGCTGACCTGTCTTTCCATTCTTCCCTCCATCCTTCCTCAATCTTTCCCTCCACTCTCTCCATCCATCCTAATCCCCCATCTATCCCTCTCCATTCATCCACCAACAATGCTCCTTCTTCACACTCTGGCCTCCCTTCCCCATCTTTCTCTTTCTCTTCCATCTTTTCATTCATTGATCCATCCATCCCTCTCTCCGTCCACGATGCTCATCCTCCACTCTTTTGCCTCCCATGCACAACTTTCTCTTCCTGTACCATCTTTTCCTTTATCCATCCTCAATCCCTCGCACCCTCCTTCCATCCATCCTTCCATCCATCCATCTGCATTCTTTTCCTTCATGCTTTCGATTCATCTTCCATCCTTCCCTCAATCACGTTTTACCCTCCATCCCTGACCTCATCCATCCTTCCCTCCCTCCATCCATCAATCTGCACAATTTACTATTCCTCTTTAATCGTTCCCTCAATCATGTACAACCTCCATCCCTTTCTCCTTCCCTCCCTCCACCCTTCCTTCCCTCCATCCGCAATGCTTTTCCCTCACACATTGGCCAAGTACAGCAGAAGCTCAAGTCGACGGAGAGTGACCGTCTCCAGGTCCAGATCCAGGCCTATCTGGACAATGTCTTTGATGTTGGTCAGCTGATGGAAGACTCTGATACCAAGACGGCTGCGTTGGAGAGAGTCGGTAACCTGGAAGAAGTCTTATATCAGGTCAGTATTCATTTATTACATTATAAGGCTTCATTAGATATATGTAAATGTCATGCTTACATGTGTTTGTACTTGTACAATGAAATCTGCCTCTGTAACCACCTGTCTATAAAGAACGCAATACCTGTTTCTCTAAATTGCAGCATTTCTTCTTAAATTGGGACTGCACTCAGAGATGCCAACCCTCCCGATAATTCACCCCTACACCCGACCTTACGATCACCATCCTTATCCTCCCGATATTTTTTTTTTTTTTTTTTTTTTATCATGATTTTTTTTAAAGGCGCTTATCAGTATATATATATATATCTGTGAATTGAATGAGAAATATTGTCTGTTAACTTTAGCATGTAGTAATTCCACTATGTTAAAAGACAAATTAAGAGTAGCGAAAGATTGTTTCAGCATAAGGATCGCTGTAACCAATGCGTGGATATTGACACAGAATCCAAATGGCGGAAAATCAGCAAAAGAAGACCAACAAATGGTCTCAGATGTATAACACCGAATACAGTATCAAGTACCTGTGTATTCGGAAGTCTGAAAGGAATTCAACATGCATTTTGTACAATTTGTACGTTATTTTTTTTTTTAAGTGGGAATTATTTAACTAAATACAAAGTGTAAAATGCTGCAAAATAAGACTCAGATTGCACCAGAGAGCATCTAGAACCCCAGAGCTTCCAGGGCCCTAAGGCGGGCCCTGGACCCCGGCCGCATGGGTCGGTGTACATCTGTATAATGTTCCAGATACAATGTAAGTGAGAGAAAAGCCAATCAAAGAGCATGTCCTGTGAGGTGACCAAAGCTCAGTGAGAGTTGTTCAAGTGAATTTTTGTTTCTTCTCAATACAGACGACTGACAGGTTACGGATGATGGAGGATGCATCTTTAGCTAAGATCGCAGAGCTCCAGCTAGGGGTCGCTGAAGTCAGTAGAGAACTGGAAATGGTCAAGGTTAATATATCTTCATCTTCAGATTCATGTATTTAGGAGTTCATTGCTACCACCAAGCTGTTTTGTATATCACAAGAACTCAACTTCCTGGGGCGCTCATTTTCACTCCTTTCCTTAGCGTTAAAAATTTAGAAGTTATACATGTACATGTATATTATTGAATGAAGTGATAACTGTGTAATTTTCCGCTGGGAATGAAAGTTGAAAAACCTGTTCCAACAACTGACGATTCAACCAACAGTTACACGTACCCACAGAATGGGACGAGTTTGACAAATGGTGAATGTGTTGAAAAGATCAATTTGGGGAAAATCAGTTCTAGTATCAAGAGCTTTAAAGAGAAGGTTGAGTTCTGGGAAGAGGTGAAAATAAGTTGTGAGCATTATCATTCTTATTATGCAAGTGTGGAAGAACATCAGATAAGACATTTTCCTTGAAAAGCATGGCTCTTCAAATGCCTTCATATTCTAAATATGTCATGTAACGTCGTAAAAATCCAGGGTAGGATTTTTACACCATGTGTTTGTGTAGTCCCATATACATCTTTCTGTGTACAGTGTTTGTAACTTTACCAAGACTGGGCCAAATTTCTTATCATTTTGATGATTCCAGCTCCTTGCAATACACACAAATTCTTATATGCTAGATGATCAACCTTTTCTGATCGATTCCACACCGTTTCTTTCACAATGCAATGGCATGTCCAGAACTCAACTTCTTCTTTAATCCAAATGTACATTCAGGTGCTTTGAGATATCCCTATTTTTCATTCCATATCTTTCTGTCTATCGTACCTACAGAGTGAGAAGCTAGAAGCAGAGAAGACGATAGAGGTCTTGAAGAGTATCCCGAGAGGTACAGGAACCGGTACAGGCACCGGTACAGGCACCGGAACAGGCGGTGGTGGAGGTGATGGTTCCGGTACTGGTTTCGGTACTGGTACTGGCGGCAATGGTGTCGGTGGCGGCAGCGGCGGCGGTGGTGGTCTTGGAGGCGGTAATGGTACTCTGACGATAGGACCCGATGATGACTTCCCTCCCCCTCCACCTCCTCCTCCTGCAATCGCCAATGGAGCAGGTAAGCTCATATAATGAAGTAAACTGCTGCAACTGCAATAGCTTTTCTGAGATTTTGAAATTTATTTTGATTTTCCCAAGTTGAGGAAAGATAGCATTTTGAAATGTGGTACTCCTACATGCAAATGCTAAGGTTTGATTCATAATATTTTAATAATAATAATAATAGCGTAATAGTCCACTCCAAATTTTATTAAACCGAAACGGAAATTCTTTTTGCCCAATTGATCGTGAGCCCGGCAGCCACTGAACAGCGCCAGATCGACGTTGCTCTATCCCTTATTGTTGAACGCCAAACAAGGTAGCAACAACTCCCATCTTTTAACATCTTTTGGTATGACGCGGCCGGGTTTCGAACCCACGTCCTCCCGATTGTGAGGCGGACACTCTACTGACTGAGCCAACACTCCGTCATATCATAAGCATTGTGTCATTTCGATTAAATGAGTCACTTGCTCTTTCATTACTTTTCTCTCTGCTAATGGCCCATAATTCTTAATAATCATACATAAAGCCAATCTAGTATATGTACATGCATAGGAGCTTACCAGAATATCAGTTATTGTAACTTGTTTAGCCCAGTGTTAAGATTCTTGGTAATAATATGTTCTTGAAAAAACCATTCTTTGACATGTATTAACTGTATCCATCATTTATTTTCTCTTGTCTTTCTACCAACAGCACCTCCCCCTCCTCCTCCTCCCCCACCCCCTCCACCAGGCCAAGGTGCTCCCCCTCCTCCCCCTCCACCACCAACCATCGGTGGTGGTCCACCACCCCCTCCCCCATTCCCAGGAGTACCCGGAGCACCCATTGCACCCCCTCTTCCTGGTATGATCGGTGGAGCGCCTCAAGGATGTAAGTAACACATTGAAAATGTGAAATGTGGGACTTTTTTTTACACATAAATATTTCTAAATCTAAATTTACATTTTGTTCTTGAAATTGCGAAGTGTCACAGACTCACAGTAGTATAAGTGGTATTTGATAAAAATATGCCCCAAAGGCTGTCTTTCATTTTTTCGCCATCTATAACATGACATCTGTGCTTATTCTATGCTGTTATATCATCTTTTCAATGATTATTGTTGATTACACAGTGATTCCTAGATTATTATACCTCACCATTTATTATTACCATGTCTGTAAAGTCACATGGATTGGAAAAGCAGACCTTCCGGTTATACAGTGTAGTTATTTAGTTAAACTTTTTTTTTCTTTTCCCAGCATCCATGCGACTCTTTTCCAAATGTACTCTTGTTTTATATTAAATGATTTTCTTTGTATTTGCAGAATAAATAATAATGTAATTTTACATTTTACTTTGACTCCTATTTTCAGCTGTGACAATAAAGAGGAAGATCCGTACCAAGTATCGTCTTCCAGCGCTCAACTGGGTCGCTTTCAAACCAAACCAGATCGGAGGAACCGTCTTTAGTGAGCTTGATGATGAAAAGGTCATGGGGGTAAGTCATCTACTCAGAAGCTTTTCTTTAAAGGGAAACTCCACCCTGATATTAAGTTGGTTTAATTGAACAGGCCTGATAATTACTCGATTAAAATCGGTTTCCTAAAAAAAAATTCTTTCTGATTTTACCCCTATTTTCCTGATTTTTCCCAATTTTCCCTAATATCCCCCTAATTTTCTTACTCAAAAGGGGGGAATGTTGTAAGATGCCATTTTTCCCCCAAAAAAACTTTTTTTTTTACTCAAGGGGGGGGGGGGGGGGGGGGGGGTGGTTGAGGATTTTAATTTTTTTTAAAAAATGTTATAGTCCTCTCTATCACCCCTGAATTGAATCACTAACAAAAATAAGACATTTCTATTTTCCCTCAATGACATGTACTAAAGGAACCTGTACATAAAGACCACTTTTCTCGTCTCCCTTGATTGGTCTTTATAGACAGGTGTGACTGTAGTAAGATTAGCCTCTTGTATAGCACCATTCTGAACTACTTATTAATCCTTATTAATCCTTTATTAATCTTTTATTAATCCTTTCCTCTTGATCATCTCTCTATCAGGATATTGACTTTGATAACTTTGAGGAGACGTTCAAGGCACAGACGCAAGGCGGAGGTCAGACGGTGACGGACGGTAAAGCCAAATTAACGTTGAAGAAAGAAAAAACCACAACCCTCATGGACTCAAACAGGTTACAAAACATCTCGATCATCAGAAGAAAGATTGAACTCACAACGGAGCAGATCATTGAGGCTATCAAAAGGTCAGTATACTGCACCCTATAGGCCACTTTTGAACTAGTCATGCTTTTCTATTTTGGTTTTATTTAAATACATAGATGTATATGTCAGATATACAGTGCGTCCCAGAAAAAACGAAACAGAGAACTATCAATGTTTTATCATAACTTAATCACAATTATAATTAATAAATGACACATATTTGGAAAGCTTAGAACCTCCTCTTTCATTGAAACTGACTACCATATTCCTTCAAGTGCAAGAGTCGGATCTTTTTTTAAATCTTAAAAACCTACACCTATATCTTAAAGGTAAAGACCAGTTATGGTCATGCGATTGCATTGTGAAAGAAACGTTGTGGAATCGATCAGAAAAGGTTGATCATCTAGCATCTAGCATATGCAAGGTTCTAGAATCGTCGAAATGATAAGAAATTTGGCCTATTCTTCGTAAAGTTACAAGCACTTTACACAGAAAGATGTATATGGGACTACCCTATATCTCTCACAGACCATGAGAGAAACCAATTTACCAAATATATGAATTAGTAGGCGGTTTCCCGGCAAATTTTTTATCATCATGTATTAGTCAAAACATATTCTTTCACATGATTGGTAATGAGAGCTTCCATTTCATTTTTTGAAATTGGGGCGTTTCCAATACTGGTCTTTACCTTTAACACGATTTGTAATGTTTGCCTACTTTTGATTTTGTATTGCAGGACCAATCTTGCCGCTCTTCCAATTGATGCCGTGGAGCAGCTTCATAGATGCTGTCCAAAGGATGAAGAGAAGAAAGTATTCCAGCAATATGAGAAAGATAAGAAGCCCATCAACATTCTAACACCTGAGGACAGACTCATGATTCAGGTAAGAGAGAGGGGATAGGGTTAGGATGGGTGAGTGAGTGGTTGGATGGATGGGTGGGAGGGTGGGTGGGTGGAATGAGAAGCCTATCAACATTCTAACACCTGAGGACAGACTCATGATCCAGGTAAGAGAGAGGGATAGGGTTAGGGTGGGTGAGTGGGTGGTTGGATGGATGGGTGGGAGGGTGGGTGGAATTAGAAGCCCATCAACATTCTAACACCTGAGGACAGACTCATGATTCAGGTAAGAGAGAGGGATAGGGTTAGGGTGGGTGAGTGGGTGGTTGGATGGATGGGTGGGAGGGTGGGTGGAATGAGAAGCCTATCAACATTCTAACACCTGAGGATAGACTCATGATTCAGGTAAGAGAGAAGAGAGAAGAGATGGATAGAGAGAGAGAGAGAGAGAGAGAGAGAGAGAGAGAGAGAGAGAGAGAGAGAGATGGATTGATAGATAGATAAAGAGAGGGAGAGAGAGAGAGAGAGAGAGAGAGAGAGAGAGAGAAGGGAGGGAGGGAGGGAGGGAGGGAAGGAAGGAGGGATGATTGGAGGGGGAGAGGGTGATAAATGGAAGATAGATACATGTAGATACATGTATTGATCGTTCAGATATGAAGGAACAGATACTAGCAGAGACAGATGAATTTTGATTAACAAATCAGTGAATAGAATGCTACATGTACATAGTTAATCAATCAATAGATATGTTGTGGATCAAAGTGTTGATATATATATATGACAGTACTGATAAAAGAGTAGTAATGACAGATCAATTACTTCAAGCATACAGTGAAATTTTCTGTAATTTATCTTTTTTCATTGAAATTATATTTGTGTTTGTATGCATCTTATTCAATGTACTTAAAAATGTATAATTATGTAGAATGAAGAAATATTTGTTACTTTATGTATATGATTATGTTTCATTTTGAAAATGCAGAAATAAAAACAAACAAACAAACAAACAAACAAATAACACCCTGCAATCTAGTGTACAGAATACAATGTTCGGTTATCTTGCAGTTTACTAATATGTTTATTTCCCCTTCCGACATTCTTTTTTCAGCTGTGTAAGGTTGATAGGCTCAGTCAGCGTCTAGGTTGTATGATCTTCATGGGTAACTTCACAGATACCATTCTCTCTTTCACACCGGTAAGTGCATCTACATTACAAGGTCACCTTCAACAACTCTCAAGGTCACCTTCAAGAATTCTCAAGGTCATCTTCATTACCTCTCAAGGTCACCTTCAACATTTCTCAAGATTATCTTATTCCTCCTACCCTGTAGAGTAGAGTACCAGTGTCTCTAGACTCTAGACTGGTACATGTGGTTCATAAATGGAAGAATTCTCCCGCCCCTTCTCTCAGAAGGGTTATTTTATGAGTCTTATATCTTTTTGAATTTTTTTTTTTGTATGTTTCCCGTTCTTGCAATGCACTTTTAGTTTATATGTACAATGTATGTATCAATGTTTAATAATCTAGTGGAATATCCAACATATTGATGTCTCATTTTTTAACAAATTAACACTTCCAATGCTTACCTTTTATTTCTTTTAGCAACTGAATGCAATCACATCTGCATCATTATCCATCAAGAACTCTGCCAGGATTAAGAAGTTACTGGAGGTAATTATTTCATGTTCGAGTTTATTGCATTTTTTATTTATAAAAATATGAGTCATTCTAGCTGTGTAATACCCCAGTCTCACTTATGAGAGCGATACAGGACAGACTACAGAACAGTCGAGATACATTACGCATGATGGGCTAAGTTAAGAGTCAATGTGGAGTCAACTTGACAGTGTGACTGAGGTTTCACAGACAAAATGTAGGGACAATGTTAAGTTTTGGATTACAAGCATTGTTCGAATATGGTGTGGTAATTCGCCTCAAAAAAGCCGCTGCTGTTTATTATGTGTAAATTAATAGCAACTGCATGCGACAAAGGACTTGCACGTATTCACTAAGCTCTGTATTATAAGATACAGAAATGTGGAGCGTATTACACGTCATCATAAATTTTTATTATGTGCTGCTATTTACCACAGCATATCTGAATGAGGCTTAAAGGTAAAGACCAGTTATGGTCATGCGATTGCATTGTGAAAGAAACGTTGTGGAATCGATCAGAAAAGGTTGATCATCTAGCATCTAGCATCTGCAAGGTTCTGGAATCATCAAAATGATAAGAAATTTGGCCCATTCTTCGTAAAGTTACAAGCACTATACACAGAATGATGTATATGGGACTACCCTATATCTCTCACAGACCATGAGAGAAACAAATTTACCAAATATGTGAATTAGTAGGCGGTTTCCCGGCAATTTTTTTATCATCATGTATTAGTCAAAACATATTCTTTCACATGATTGGTAATGAGAGCTTTCATTTCATTTTTGAAATTGGGGCGTGTCCAATACTGGTCTTTACCTTTAACTTCATTATACAAAGACTGCTGCTGATTTGTCACCTTGTGTCTGAACGAGACTTTAGAATGTAGAGGTATATGTTTAACACATGTACTCTGTAGATAGTTATCATCTTTTCTCATTCAATGTCTCCCATCTTTGGTTCTATTCACAGGTTATCCTAGCTTTCGGTAACTACCTGAACAGCTCAAAGAGAGGAGCAGCCTATGGTTTCAAACTCCAAACTCTAGACACGGTAAGCTCTCCATTACATGATCCAGGGTGTACTCATTGTTTTCTCTATCTTACAAAGTACCTTCTTTTTATGTCATTTATATGTTTTCCATATTCACAATAAAATCAAGCACTAATTTGCATTCCAAAGTATGATTTTTATAATAGATATGCAAACTACAAGTCACTACTTGTTGCAACAACAACAAATCTGAACTATTTAAAGTATTTATTCAATTGCAAGCATACATATTGGACTTGCCATTACAAAAATTGGTCTATTGATAGTGGTTTTACATGTATTTGGTATCATTTTCAAGAAACTTGGTTTTGCAAAATGTTTTCCCCCATCCTGTAGGGTATTGAGATCCAATCACAATTTTATTTCATACTGAAGATTATATTTTAAACTTTTCTTTTCACCACTACATTTGTAATAATAATAATAATAGGTCAATTTATATAGCGCAGCTACTATATGAATACATGTATACTCTACTGCACAATAATACAAGGTATCATATTATTACCCCGGCTGATAAGATAAGGCGCTAAAGCATTTCAAGGAATTAAGTTCCTACCAGGTACCCATTTACATCACCTGGGTTGAGTGTGGCAAACGTAGATCAATGTCTAGCCAAAGGACATTAGTGTCGCGGCGGGACTCAAACCGCGGACCTCGTGATCGACAGTCCAGTGACATATCCACTTGACCACAACACCTCTCCTTTGTATTCATTTCTAAAATATCTTTGTTATTTTGACCTCAACCCTCACAGGTCCTTGATACCAAGTCAGCAGACCGTAAGATCACACTCCTCCATTACATCGTAGGAACCATCCACCAAAAATTCCCTGATGTCGCTAGTTTCCATGACGATCTTCAGTACATAGAGAAGGCAGCAGCAGGTAAGAACCATTCTGTCATCCATTCTTCATAGACCGTTCATATTTTCAATTTTTTTTTATACAGTTTTGTTAAAAGTACAGATTGGTAGTGATGATAAGGATATTCAGTTCTGGTAGTGTTTTATCACATTACTTGTGAAAAACAGTGTCTCTGTGCACTTCCAGGAAAATTTGGGAATTATGTGTGTTACACTCCATCTTTGGCAACCTTTCTCAGAGCATATAGTGCATTTACATGGAAGCATTTCCTTCCTACTGGTACCTTTTTAGCTAGACCTTGGTCGATTGTGGCAGATATAGATTAATATCTTGTCAGAAGATCCTGGTAGTACTTACAGTATACAATTAGTATAGTATTAATGACTGCTTTGAGAGAAATAGTTGTTTTTATACGCTCAAGGGAAGGTTAGAATTGTGCTATTACCCGAGGCTTGCCGAGGGGAATAGCCCAATTGTAACCTTCCCGAGAGCGTATAAAAACAACTATTTCTCGAATATTAAAGCAGTCATTAATACTTTTATATGCCGAAAAAAATAGACTAAAAAATAAAAAATAAAAAATATTTTTTATTTTGTCGAAGGTGAGAGTCGAACTCTTGCGTACAATGAGTAATCTTTCTCCCAACGCCTTACACCACTCGTCCATCGCGCGCTGTTCACATGCTTGGCAGTTTTGTACAATATATACATTACAATGGATTGAAACCGGCTTCGGCGTGATGAATGCTTCGCAAAAGCACCCTTCTTTTACTTTTGCAATGCATATTGGCACGAACTTAGATCAAGATCTATCGGCAGATGTTGTTTTTTTGTTTTTGGAAGTTTATTTTCGTCTTCATGTCAACAATGCAAGATAAAATTGTCGGTAAGATCGATCGAGATTCAATTGTATTGAAATTACCGACCAATCCTTCGCACACATACGGTATCCTCGATCGCTCAAACCATTTTTTAACATGTAAACCTATGGGGTAACCATGGAGGCTGACCTATTTTTTTAATAACCATGGTTATTAAAAATATTAAATGTTTTATGCATGGTTACCGGGAATTTTACAGGAACAGTTGAAGTTTATGAATGCAATTTCGACCAATCAGATGGCTGGATTACTTAAGTGAGGTATATAAAATATTTTATTCATTCCGCTTATCAACTCAACTACAAATATGTGACTAATCAGCATGACTTTAAGACAGCTCATCTTCAAATGTATTTTCCTTACCAACCTCAAATAACTATTTTTATTCATTTTCTTGTCCCTAGTCTCACTGGAGAATCTGATCTCTGACATCACGAGTCTTGGTCATGGTATCACGCTGTGTAAGAGAGAGTACGCTCAGCAGAGTGATAATACAATCCTGAGAGACTTCTTACTCAACAACGAGGAGAAGGTCCGCAAACTAGAGATGGTTCTCAAGAAAGCCAAGGTTTGTAATCTTAAAATGGTGATGATGGTGGTGGTGGTAATGATGCTGACAATGATGATAATAATGATGATGGTGATAGTGATTATGATGGTGGTGGTGGTGATGATGATACTTACGATGATGATGATGGTGGTGCTTATGATGTTGATGATTTTGATAGTGGTGGTGATGATGATGACGATGATGATGATGACGACGACGACGACGACGCTGATGATGATGATGATGATGATGATGATGATGATGATGATGATGATGATGATGATGATGAAACTGTTGATGATAATGATGATGATAATGATGATGGTGTCTTTCGTCTTGATGTTGATATTGCTAATGACAGTCAGATATGATTCCTGTAACTTGTATCAAGCCTTTGCAATGCATTTAACTTATAATTTCTCTGATTCTATTTTATTCAGGATGCATTCAATGAGGTAGTTGGATATTTTGGTGAGAATCCCAAGACGTTACCACCCAGTGCCTTCTTCGCTCTCTTCCATAGATTCTCAGTTGCTTTCAAGGTACTACTTAAACACTTTAACCTTACAACAACAAAAAAAGCCTTTTATATTGTGGCCTCACAGCTCAAGAGGAGCAGTTACCGACTGGGATCTTGGCCCTAGAGTGACATAAAAGGGTGGAAATAAGCGAAAAACTTGTAACTTTTCATATAGAATTTGTTCTGTGTTCCTGTTTAAGTTTTGAAAACATGTAATTTGGGGCTCATATGCATTGGATCCCTGTTAGTGTCAGACCATAGATAAGTCCTGTGATACTTAGTTACAAATGTTGTATGAAGGAAGGATTGATTTGGTCCAAAATTTGCTCCAAATAGAGACATCGTAGATGTATTAAGCACTATATAGAAGCACGATATTATTATCATTATTATCATTATTATAGAAGTCTATTTTTGTATGTACATATTACTATTATGATGCTACTCCTACCATGTATGTTAATACATTTTTTTACAATTTCTTTCCATGAAACAGAAAGCAGAAGTTGAGAATGCACAAAGGATAAAACTCCAGGTGAGCGTTTTTTGTTGTTGTTGCTATCCGTCTTTTTTTCTTCTCTGTTGTTGTTCTGTGTGTCCCTGTCGTCCATGAACATTTCCACTTACAGTGTACGTGGGACTTTTCCTGAACATAAGAAGCGCTGAGTACTACCAGTATGGTACTTCAGCTTCAGCGAAGCTTCCGTGATTAAAATCTCATCGTGCATTAATGGAAACTTCAATCACAAGTTTCTTGAGACATATAAGTTTCAGTTTCAGTTTCATTTATTTCTCCTCAAGAGATCAACAGATAAAAATACATATATAAAGAGACAAATGTATGACAATAGAAAAGATGAATTATAAAAAGTGAGGAAGACTGGCTGAAAAGAAAACGACCTTGAGATGACAAACCTTTAAGAAAACAATAAGTGGAAAGAAGCAGTTTCATTTTCTAATCGATGATGATTTATCTGTTTGACCTTACAGCAATCCCAGAAGGACACAGCAGCTAACATCTCAGCAGCTCAGAAAGTCAGGAAAGACAAACAGAATCAGGTAAGGGGGATAATAATAATAATGATAATACTAATATATCTTGTTTACCCAGGGTAGCCTCATCCGTATTCATACTGTTCTCCCTGAGGGCCTTGCAATCATATTATTACCCTGGCTTTAGCCGAGCTACCATGTATCTCTATGAATAAATATAACTGATCAGTGTCACATGCAACTCAACTTGAGATTCATATAATTTGCAGCTCTGTAGATTAGAGTTAGGAGATGTAAGTTTGCAGTTGATAAGAGGACTTGCAATCAATTCAAATTAATTGCAACTCTTCATGAAATGGGGCATTGGTAGCTTTACAGCAGTGTGTATGAAATACTTTACATAGCTCTAGGTTTAAACCCCTGTTTGATTATTCAGACTGGTTTCTGTTCTAGATTGCATTTACAAGTATGCAATCTCTGTAAAGAACATGGTATATTTTACAAATCCTCTTTACCATCGTCACAAGGCAAAACAAGATAGGAAAATTGCACTTGTTAACTGAATAGACCTTGTGGCAGATGAGTCTTGTGCTAAACAAATTATCCAATAAAGTCTTCTACTCCTACACTTCAGTCATAGGAATTTAGAATGATAATATTCTTGTGACTCCTCATATTCTATCTGATGATTACTATCACATGCAGGCTGCAGTAGTAGCTGAGCTTGAGACGCGGTACAGGGGGCCGGGCAACAAAGAGAAAGGACCCAAAGAAGTCTCGGACGGAGCTATCGAAAACATCATCTCAGGTGAGTAACTAATAACATCTCTCAATCTCAACGTAACAAATCACTCAAAATCTGATCAAAAGCTTGCCTTTCACTACCCAGCACAGAGAGTTATGTGTACTTGTAATGATCTGTTCGTTTCTATCCAAAACTATGGTGGTTAGATGCTCTACTGTGCTTATTTATTAACAACAGATTTGTTTGTCTGTCGAGGGAACTTATTATGTCATTGACAAAATTTGTTGGTTGTTTTCCTTACACTATTTAATTACCCTTTGGTGATTTTGTGTGTGATTTTTTAATAATGAGATCAGTGTTTAATCCTGTTTGTAATTTTCTGGTGGTGTATTAATTAATAACAATTGGAAAATGTAAATTGTCTGACTAAAGACATCCAATTCTCTTGTATTTCTGGGTACTGGATATACAGTATAGCTATTATGATTGATTTATAACTACTTGATATGATCAGTCTTCTAATATGTAAATACTATACTAAAAATTCTGTAGTTATTTGTATTACTTGTATATTATATTTTAACCAGAATGTATCCTCTTCTTTCCTCACCCAATCTCTCCAATCAATATTTAAGTGGTGACGGGAATTTACATTTGAAACGAGCTTCCATGCTCTCAATAGGTTTATACACATTACCGGTATATTTCTTTTGTCCCAAACCCTTACACATGGTGAGACTCATTTGATCACATTGGAGATAATCATATATAATCATAAATCCCAGGACCCCATTTCACAAAACTTGTCATCAGTGAAAAATGACAGTTTTTGTTATAAGCTAGTGAAATCCTTGCTTCTGATTGGTTATCAGCTGATTTTTGTCATTTGTCAGTGAAGAAAGGCTTTGTGAAACAGGTCCCTGGGTCCCTGGTCATGCATTGGAGTGGTAGACCTTTTATTTTTGTTGGAAAAATAGTTTCATAATCAAAAGATTTCTATTAAAGTTATCTTCTGTGAAACACAAACCAGAATAGACATTTACATGTAGGGATCAAACATTTGTTGTTAAATCATAAAAGATATAATTTTTTAAAATGTGAAGGTTAGAAAATTGGGTGAAATGTTAGGGGATATTCAGAAGAAGTACATGTATGATATTAAAACAATAGATAGGGGTGTAATTTACTTGTATAATGATGATCGTAAAGATTTTCAAGAAATCGACTCAAGGATAATTTAAATTCTCTAAGTACATGTACATGTATATTTCATAGAAATCATGATGAGAAATATATGGAACTGTAATGTTACGCATTTAAAAAACAATGCACAATGCTATTGAATTTACCTAATGTTGATATCTTGAAAATCTTTGCAACCATCTTCCTAATATTAAAGTATTGTAGTTTATTTGCTCTTTAATCCCTTACCTCCTGAACTGGGACACTTGGAAAGCAACAGGTCTTTAAGAATTTTATTTTGTTTTGTTGTGATCCCACCTTTGGCTTGTTTTTAGCCCCATTCCCCAAACCTTTCATTAGCAAACCCATAAATTAAATATGTATGCAAATTCAGAGCTCAAGACTATAACCTGTACTTCTATAATGAACCTCCATATATGGCAAAATGTATGGTATTCATCAGGTTATATTTCAAAACCCGTCCTTAGATTTTTCCTCTATCCTAAAATATAAGCAAACCCTACCTGATTATTTAGGCATACATGTACAGTATCTGTAAAATGGTATCTATGAAAAATCTGTTTTGGACGTAAAATCATTGGGTCATAAATTCATGAGTGAAAATCCAAACAATTTGTTGATGCCGGTGGTGACAGGATTGAGAAAATAAGAATATGAATCTGAATAAAAGTGATTTTACATATTTAGTAGATTGAAACAATGAGATTTAAATAATCAAACTAAAAACTGTACATGTACATGTACATGTCCGGCAACTATACAAACAAGACACTAATAAGAAAGTATAAATATCTTAATGCATATTTCTACAGTAATTATAAGTAAATGTACACCATAGGTCTAAAGAGAGAGAAATAATGAAATCAGACAAATCATAACAGTTAATCAACACTTTAGGGAAATCAATACTTCACTAAATTAAAATTGAGGGATACATCACTTACTTTAAGTAGCTGTTAAAGGCAAATTGTATATGTGGTTCATTGGATGGAATGGCTTATAGTTAGTTAACCGCATGAATAATTGTTCTTATATTATGATTTATATGAGTTCTTTTATTTTATTCAGTTTGGAGTTGATCCCCCTTCACCAATATGCTTTTCACATAGTTTAGAAATAGACCCTCTGTAATTGGGAACCACAATTACCGTTTGTCTCTTTAGTGGACCCAAAAAGCACCTGCATGGAAACTTATATACCAAAAGCACTTTGTGTAACTTAGAGAAGAGAAACAGATTGGATTTTGAAATTAAACATTTGTAACCATGACAACAATTTTAAGAGTCAAATTTTTTCTATGAAGTGTTGGTTTTGAACTGAAAATCAATTTCTTTTATTGGTCAATTCATTCTTTTGATGAATGTCAAAGAGGGGGTACAAAAGCTAAATCGTTATGATGTGCAAGTGTATACCCTTTACCTCTGATTCAAAATAGAGAAAAACGTTTAAAAGGCACCATGCATCACTTAGAAGTAGAAAAGGGGGTCCTAGCTTTTCCAATATTAGGATAACTTGTTATTTCATTTACCAGAAGTGTTTGTACTTTAGTACAGCTTTTTCTAAGTTCAATCAACCCACGTTTTTATAGAGGTTTAGTGAAGGGACTCTGCCATTTTGAAAATGATTTCATATATAATTGATTCATATATAAAATCCTTTCCTTTACCTTTATCAAAGAAAGGGGTAGAAGGTATCAGTCTTGAAATGTTGGGATTCCTCTTTTTTCCTATTATTTCCCACGGATTTTTATATCATTACTTTCATTTCTGGTAATTATTTTCATCACTATGATTTCACATTCCCCTGATGAAACATCATTACATCTGTTCAGCACCAGAAGGGTGTTAACTCTGTGTTAAAGAATACTAGTTAACGCCCTTCTGGCTACGAACGGATACATCGTTATACAATCAACTTATATTTATATACATGGCCTAACATATTGCATGTTTCTTTGTTTTATTTTATTTTGTTGATGGTTTTAATCTCTGCCCCTACCTACTACTTCTACTGCTCTCCATTGATTTTTGTTTCTCCCGCTTGCTCAAATGATCAGCTTTAAGACAAGCTCGGTAAGCTTCTAATCCCTTTAATCCCATTTTAATCCCATTTAATCCTATTTTAATCCCTTACACCATACTAAACAACTTCATTGTACCATATTTTATTTTTGAAGAACGTGAATTTTTTTCACAAAATGTGGCATTTCCATGATAAATGTTATGTTCCATTTCTAGAATTTCATACACATCAGATCTTTGTCCTCAGAATATGTCTTTTCACAAATTTGTTCACACTTGTATTTCATTTTCATCAAGTCAGAATTTCAATGAAGCTTTGTTATAGATATATCAACTTAGATGTATTTTCATAAATTTCCATGAGAAAAAAAAATGTTTCCATTAGCAAAAAAACATGAAGGAAATTGAAATCATTTCAAATCATGATCGCTGTACCACTACTAGTAGACCACATACAAGTAGTTATCCCAAACGTCTTGCAGTACGGGACTTCAACTTTTTGAATGTTTGAGTTTGAATTCGTTGCTTTAGTTGCTTGCTTTAGATATTAATCACATTTGCTTCTGCCACAGGTAGAAACAGCTTTTGGCAGAAATTTGCTTTGCACTCTTCGTAACTCAGTTTTGCTTGCAGCTTAAATAGGGCTTAGATTTTGACATACCGAGTATCACAGAATTTTAATATAGAATGCTACATTCAGCACACTACTTCACATTCATTTTTCATGAAGAATTCAATTTATCCGAAAGCTTTGACCTACACACTTCTAAAAAGGATATTTTACAATCCTTACTTTAATATTAAGCTGTACTTGCGCATTATTATCGAGTATTCTTGATTCTTTATCATACCAGTAAACAGTTTTGTTTTCAATACCTAAATATTCAGTAGATATCATTAGTGATCAAAGAGTTTCCATACTTGTATTTTTTCCTCAAAAATGATATATATATATGTAAATGTATTCAAGTAGAGTGAATTAAGGTTTTGAATACTGGTATTCCTGTATTTTGTGTATTGATTGCTGTTCTTAATGTTATCCTTTAATGTATCTCCTGGCAAAATTTTGAAATAACAGTTACATGTATCTATCACCAGATTAATAACAGGGCATTTAATAAAGAAACCCTGTCATTAGCATTAACAGTCAAACCTATCTTTTAAGGCCACCGAAGGACACAGAAAAAAAGTGGCCTCTGTATACAGTTGCCCTTTCTAGACAGGGTCTACAACACACATTTCTATCTTTGAGGGAGACAAGATATGCAGCCATTATAGACTGTTGGCCTTTATATAGAGGTGGCCACTTAGACAGGTTTTACTCTATATGATTAAACATTACCTACACACATTTAAAATTCATTACTTTTTATTCCTCTATATCGACAAACATACATGTACATGTATGTTTAGATTTATATAAATGATAATTTGTACCTCATTTTTGTTTAAACCATTTAGTTTTGAGTGGAATATAATCTAAGTTGCACTATTTTTTTTGTTAGCACAAATACCTGAAATTCATCTTTCATCCATGTTAGCTCTACATGTACAAGCTCAAAATAAAGAGCTGACTACCTGTGAATTTACACAAAATCCACTCATGTATAGATTAAAGAGTGATGTATTGCATTTGTATTTTGCAAATCATGTTTTTTTTTCTTTTTCAGTTTGCCTTTAAAAATGATATAAAAGCTTTTTATTTTATAAAGAGAATACGGTAATACCCATGTTTCACCTTCAAGCCTAGCTTAATTTGCTATAAGTACGCAGAAATAGGCACCAAAACAAGAAGGCATCAAAGATTCTTTAAAAATCATGAAAATTGGGAAAGATAACTTCACACTAATATTCAGTTGCTGGGTTTTGAAACAACTATCATCCAAACTGCTGGGAGGAAAAAATGAATATATGATTTGAAGTGATTTCAGTACTGCAAATGCTCACAATTTTTTTTTTTTTAAAGATATGCTAACTACTAGGTTACTTATTTTTCTTTTATGATAATTAATATTTTATGTGCCTCATTGTGCAGCCATTTTGTCTGCTTTGGGGCATGTGTATTTATAACAATTCTATTTAAAATACCTTTCTGACTCTTCTCAGACAATATTTTAGTAGACATTCACTCATGTATACTTTATGTTTAAATTCTTTATTATTTTTCCTTTAAAATGTTTTCTGAAATTTAAGGCATAAGTAGCAGATGAGACAGACCTCTATGCTCATGTGATTTTAATTCCAAATGAAACCTCATTTTCTGCATTACATGGGCAATGAATTCCTCTCCTACAAATCCATCAGTGGTTTGCAACTTAACATCTCTATTTTCCTCCCTTTTGTAACACTCTCAGATCTGAAAAACGAGCCATACCGACGTGCCGATGGCATACGGCGGAGTCTCCGGCGCAGACAGGTTGAACGACCGACCATCCTAGCAGACGAGATGGTCATCTAGATGACCGATGGATGGAGATATTGACCAGCACAGAGCAGTGACCACAAAGAGTGTATTAACCTGTTTGCTATGTTTCCTGTAGTAAACCTTTGGGAAAGAGAGATATCAGGAGTGATTGGGTTAACAACATGGACAGCAATCTTATAGTATATTAGAAAGCACATCAATACAGGATTGCAGCTACAGGCTTTACCTTGCTATTACTAGGCTCTGCCTGGCACCCCTTTTCTCTAGGCTTTGTCTGGCTTTATATGTGACAGAAAAAATGGGGTTCAGACCAGTTTGAGACTCTTGGCTAATCAAGTTGTACCGAGTGGTGTCCGTATAGAACAGATAATGCACGCTTCACGTTTTGAGAGTGCACAATCTGGATAGAGGATATAATCCTTTATTATGTAGTGATAAGCACACGATACACCACATTAATATACACATCAATGTATAATGTTGTCATCCACTTTCATGTAAGAATAACCAAGACTCCTATCTTGCACTAAAACTTTGACAGGAAGAAGAGAAATATTTGTGTGTACTCTATTAGTTATGATAATTGTAGATGTGTAGATACAATGCAAATTTAAGCAAGACTACAAGCACTTCTTCTAGATCGTTTGCTGATTGCGTAATCTTTCACGACATCTCCCTGATGGTAGAGGGCAGCATCCACTCAAAATATAGACACAATTTTCTTGAATTGAGATGGGGACTGCATCCCATATCACACCCACATGACCTCTGTGTTTGGTCGGTCAGTGGTGCTTTTGTGATGGTCAGTTATGGTCAGTTGATTAGACGTGAGTGGACAGTGATTAAATCATTATCATGATGAAGCTCGGGAAGGGTGTGAAGAGAGAGAGAGAGAGAGAGAGACGGTCATTGCTACTTTATTATGTAAGTGATATGATGCTATTATTATGAAATAATTATATCAACGGATGGAGCATTTCCACATCAAAGCTTAGTACATGTATCATTATAGCCATGTACTGAGGCGTTTATTTCATCACATCTGCTCTGTTCTCCTACCGAGTCGAGATCACCATGTGTAATCTTCACCTTTATACAGTCAGAATTGGTCTCTTGATAGCTCAAGTTACAGTAAGTTCTTTTGGCGTTAAGCAGACAGATATCTCTGTATCACTGCACTGCTTCGTGGAATCAAGGAGTTAGTTATGTACATGTATAGCAGTCCCACTACATCTGGATATTGAACACATGATCTTGTCATATCGTCTGTTTTGTGCCAGAAGGGTGCTACGTTTTAATTACATACCTTAACACAGAGTTAATGCCCTCCTGGCTCTGAAGAGATGATATGCTTGCATGGTTTCTATTCAATGGAAATTCAATGGAAATTTTCTAAGGGTGATTAATATCGGACCCATTAATTATAGAAGTGAATGCCACTGCTATCAATAGATAATACATATAATTCTAAACTAAATACATATATATGATTATGTTCAATTATGATGTTTTATTATAATAAAGTTCTTGCTTTAGTACCAAAAGGCCTCAGAAATTTACAGACCTTGTATAAGGACATCCTTTTGGTCCTCAAGTGACGATTTTTAGAAAGTACGATTGCTTCCTTTGCGGAAGAAATGATAAAAGGTATTATTCTTTTTATAGTTAGAAATAATTTTTATATTATGAAAAAAGTATATATGAACGACACAAATGTATATAGAAAGGATGAAATTGTTAAGAAAATTTTCTATTTATGATTATCTGCTTGCTGAATACAAGCATTCTATGAGACATTATTTTTGTGTCTTGATGTTTCTTTTTTATACTTTATATATATATGTATATGCAGCAAAGTGCTGCGTTCTATGTTATGCAACTCAGAGCAGGAGCTTAAATGCTTGGGAGGTGTTTTGTGTTTTACATGTAAATGCATTGGGCAATATAACATCCTAAGTTTATCTATTATTGTATTAAAGTTTCTTTTTGTAATTATTTATATCTATGTTGGACTGTATATTATATGTTGGTAGCGTTTGACAACTGAGTTGATGTTTCTTTAATGCTCATTGCAGCACCCGTGACTATCCATTGCAATTAATCTTCATTTAAAACACATTATCTGTATCCATGTAAGCTATTTACCTGTATGACTTTAATACCATGATAATGGGTACAAGGTATTGCAGAATTTCTTAATTTGTAATTTGGAGGAAAAAATATCTTCATTTTATGTTTTGTTTTTATGTTCAACATGAATATTTAACAAGCTATTGATAACATTCTACTCATAGGTCTATTGTATCTATAGGCAGAAACAGACACTTGGTATTATCCTATTAATATCTGGGATTTACAGAAATTTCAGATGAACTGAAATTTCCTGATTTCTTTTTTTAGTACCTTCAACATTTACCAGTATGTAATCATTATGAAGTGCTATGAAGATGCCTTTATAATACATGTGTAAGCAAAGCTATAGACCAAATTGAATTAGAATCATGTTGTAGTATTATAATGCAAAAATGACACAGTTCCAGCACCTTACGATGAAAACAAATCAGATAATCATTATGTTTGTAGCTGTGCTAGTACGTTAGGATTTATTAAAACAAAGCACAGCACAATCTTTAGAAATCAGTAATGTATGACTGCACAGTTAAAAACTGTTTAAGGAAGATACAATGTTTTAGTAATCTTTTATGGAATCAGGTTTTATATACACATTAATGATGTAATATTATGCCTTTTACATGTACAATTATATTTCCTTTTTTATGATTACTCTTTTAAGTATGATAACGTAATTTTTTTTAAATTTTTGACCATGCACGATGCAAATTGCACTGCAACCTTTTTTTATACTTTGCCCAACTTGTTTAAAAATTGTCTATTTGACAAGCTACTGAAATTTCAACTTGCCATTTTATGTCCAGTATAACCCTTAACCTAACACACATTACTAAGATTTTTGTTTTGTGTTTATCAAAGTAGAACTTGTTGAAGTGCTCTACATTCCAGCCTTCCATTTTTGCCATTTTTACGATGATGATTTCATTACTCTCAAGCAGGAAATAGCATTTGACACCAGTGTTTAGGATGGATTCTGGCTTTGTATAGCAGACTTTCTGACCAAACAAATCAAATAAGTGTAGCCGATAGTTTTATGAAAGTTAAAAGCTTATTTTTTGTAAAGATCATAACTAATGTTGCACTTTAAAAAAAAAAGATGAGAAAGAAAAGACTCGCTGTGCCCCCAAATTATTGAAATACATGATGTGATACAAATACTTTTTGGTGGTGTTAAGTTGTTATGGCTGACAATTTTGTTTTCCTTTGAAATTGTTAGCAGCCACATAAACCCTTTAATGTGAGAATTATTCACAGGGTATCATGGTTTGTTGTGCCTTATTAAATTAACATCCCTAAGATTCTATCTATATACCAGTAGAATGCTCACCAATAAAACAAAACAAATTTTCCTTTCCATGAACATGTAAATAAATGACCAAGAATGCATAATGTACACTTTACTGACATCTCAATTATAAAAGAGACAGGTTTGTAGCACCTTCACCAATGATATTGACCAAACGCGTGTCTGTTAAGATTATTCTCTTCTGCTTTTCCGCACTTCTAAGACTGTTTCGTGGATAATATTCAAGCGATGTTAGTTTGCAATCTTTAATTAAGTCACCAAAACCTCATCATGTCATAGATTTTTATAGGAATGAGCTCACTGGTGTTTCACTGTGTTTGAATCATTACTAAAAACCATTACAATAGTTGGACTTCAGGGGGCAAGTTCTCATAGATGACAAAGACAATGTCGTTCAATGAATACATTTACTGGTACTTTCTTATTAAGAGTGTCAACCGTATTAGCATTGCTGCGCCAACACAACATTGATATTGAAGTTGCTGAAGTCATTTGTGCTATTCTTAACAATGTTCTTACATTGCTCTTTTCAATTTTCTTACTTTTTTTCCCCTTGTCACTCAAACTCTATTGAGCCAACTGTCTCCACTATGATGTGATATGTCTGTCACATGTTAGTACAGTTTACTTTTCAAAATATGATAGATGTGCGTTATTATTGTGGACCAATTTTGTGCAGTGGCTTATTATTATTTCCATTTATCAGACTTTTAATTTCCTTAACCGCATGGACTTGTTGTGGCCCTGTTTCATAAAACTTGTTATCATAAACAAGATATGATAATTGTTATATCTAGAAAGAAAAACTACTTGGGTTAATGGTTAATTTGAATGAACGGAGCTTCGTTTAAAATATAACTTTCTAAGGGATCAAAATGGATACTTTGCCTTCGTTCTAAACTCCAAATCTATGAATCAATAATTGCATTTCTTTGTCTCTAAAATCGACTGAATTTCATTTTCATATTTTGATAAGGTTTATCCATTATTGAATGGATAGGGAAATGGTTTATTTTCTACGTGTACTTACTGTTTCAGATTTCTTGCCTTAGCTTAACACGAATATGATGTGTTTTCCAATGGAAGTGTATGTCCATGTACATTATGTCTGTGAAGTTCTAATTTGTCTTATTAACTGATATTTTTTTATACCCAATAGAAAAGTAAGACTAATGACTCACACATGTTGGTGTTAAAATGAAATTACATTGTATTGACTGGCAAACAAGATTAGAATTATGGAAAACTTGTATAATTTCCTCCTCAGAATGTCTCCATATTTGGCAACCAGCCAAGAATGAAATTATAAGTTCTCACCACTGGGGTACCCCCTGGTACCTTAAAAACATCTGTAGTCAAATTTCATTCGTATGTTTTGTGTTATTTTTCTGTACAGAATAAAATGTTCTGATATTTTTAAGATAAACTTATTCCTCTGATGGTACTTTAGTGTTTTATTCCAGTGATTTTGTGTGTAGAATGTCCATTGAAGATTAAGACAGAAGATTTCTCCTACTTTCTGTTTTCTTTTTACTCATTTTCTCTCTTCTTTTCTCCCACCTTTTCTCTCATCTTTCCTCTCAAGAACTGTACAAGGAAGTCTGAGAGATACATATAAATGTATAGGTACATGTATTTGATGCAAGATATGCCAAAGTAGAGACACAGAGAGAGAGAGAGAGAGAGAGATGACTTGGGGGAGGGGGTTCAATGCCAAACAAAATTATAGGAGTTTTTTTTAAGAAATAGAGAAGAGAGAGATGGAAATAAGGTAAATGAGAAGGGAAAATAAATGAAATAGTGCAGTTGAGTTGTTTTTACCCAGATGTAAATCGGGGGTAGGTTTATATTACTTATTAAGAAAGAGAAAACGTTGTGAGATGGGTTAGAGTCGAGTGTGAACGTTTGTTGGCAATTTTCCAAGGTACTTTATTAAAAGTATACAGTGCTGCTGATTACTGTTATTCAACCAATCATCCCTTCAAAAACTCGACCTGAAGGCGTTTTGCCTATAGGGAAGTGGGAAAGGTACACCAATTATAAACCCCCTTATTTGCTCCCCCTTCCGACCACTTCTTACTTACCTACCTCGAATAGGAAATAATTTTAATATCCGTCCATCTTGACGTAGATCACAGGGGATCTTCAATTCGGCAACTTAGCGTAAAGTCAAGTTTAATAGGTAATGTTGGATCACTTCAATCACTGGTTTGTTATCGCCGATGCGCACATTTTAAACTGAAGTCACCGACCATCATGGGGTGGTCAGTTTGAATGGTGAACGTACATGTATATTTGTCAATAATTAGAAAGTGACGTGCCAAATGTCAAAAAGTGTCGTCCTAATTGCATGGCAGGGTTGTTGGTGATTTGAGTTCTAAATTAAGCGTGTTATTTGTAAGGTCACTTGACTGTCAAGATGGACAAGATATTGCCAGTAGACCGTGAGGGGCGGCCGTGCCGGAAAAAAAACCATGAGCTGAAAGTTTTCTGTAACAAGTAAATAAAACCGTGTTGCCCATTATTTTGAAT